CTCTGATAAGTAAACCTTTACGCAAGAGAACCTCTGTGTCTTCTATCGTTTAGAAGTCAGCGTTACACTAATCTTGAAGGTAGAATATATATTGCTATCGAAGCTATTAGATTACGCCAATTTAATAGCATTAGGGCAGCTGCAAAGGCCTCAAATGTCTGTCCTAAGCTACTTGAGAGGCGCCTAAAGGGAATACGCCCACGACGCGACATTACACCAAAAACTCAAAAACTCACTTGCTTAGAAGAATCAGTTGTTATTCAACATATCTGTAATGTTGGGTGCACCAGATATGAGAATCTAGCCACCCAAGGAAGGGATGAATTTACTAAGACAACACACTGTCTTAGGAAACAGAGCCAAAGGGTTGTAGCTTAGACTATTCCACAACGCAGCAATCAGGTGTATGATGTGGTGAAGTGGTTTAGACAAGTTGCAACAAATGTTGAGTCTGAGAACTCAGGGGTAAGTCAGAGGTTAGCACCTCACTGACTTTTCAAAAACAGAGAATAACAAGATCAATGCTTGGAAGCTTGGAAAAGACGTAGAAGTATGTGCTAGTCGATTTACTGTATTGCCTGCTTGCCCTTTCTTAAGGAAAGGGCAATCCTATTTATGCCAAAGGAGTGTAGTTCTCTCATTTTCCATGACTTTCCATGACTAACCAGGCTTGGTAAATGTATTAGAAATCAAGTGCGACCCACAACTAGCTTGCTAATCATGTAGTGAACGTAAGAGAATCCCATAGAACCATCTCTTGGGTTCCTAGCCTATAGGAAGTGAAAAGGAGGTCCAAGGTCAGAGTACCTATAGACAAATTATGTCATAACTTAACCAATCTTGTGGGTAACTAAGGAGCGATGACGTGTAATGAATCATAGAGGGTTGTAGAAGCTTCTAGAGCTATCGTTCATGTTCCTAGGCCTCTAGTTGGTAGAGATATGCCATGTGGTAGTATTGACCCACCCCCTTAAGGAGGAGATTTTCTTAATAACTTGTTCAATGAGTGTCCAAATGATATGCCGTGATGTATGTAGCATAAACAGATGTAGTAGAAGAGTTTGCAGCAATCGTTGAGTAGTATTGCTTCTGTTGTTGGTGTGATAAGCCAAGATATGTATGGTGACTTGTAGGTTTGAGGAGGAGATTTCTAAGTTTGCTCTTGAGTTTGATAGCAAACTGAGTGCAACGAATGTCAGTATGACACCAGGGAAGGGATGATTTTACGAACACAACACACTGTCTTAGGAAACAGAGCCAAATGTCATACTGACATTCGTTGCACTCAGTTTGCTATCAAACTCAAGAGCAAACTTAGAAATCTCCTCCTCAAACCTACAAGTCACCATACATATCTTGGCTTATCACACCAACAACAGAAGCAATACTACTCAACGATTGCTGCAAACTCTTCTACTACATCTGTTTATGCTACATACATCACGGCATATCATTTGAACACTCATTGAACAAGTTATTAAGAAAATCTCCTCCTTAAGGGGGTGGGCCAATACTACCACATGGCATATCTCTACCAACTAGAGGCCTAGGAACATGAACGATAGCTCTAGAAGCTTCTACAACCCTCTATGATTCATTACACGTCATCGCTCCTTAGTTACCCACAAGATTGGTTAAGTTATGACATAATTTATCTATAGGTACTCTGACCTTGGACCTCCTTTTCACTTCCTATAGGCTAGGAACCTAAGAGATGGTTCTATGGGATTCTCTTACGTTCACTACATGATTAGCAAGCTAGTTGTGGGTCGCACTTGATTTCTAATACATTTACCAAGCCTGGTTAGTCATGGAAAGTCATGGAAAATGAGAGAACTACACTCCTTTGGCATAAATAGGATTGCCCTTTCCTTAAGAAAGGGCAAGCAGGCGATACAGTAAATTGACTATCACATACTTCCACGTCTTTTCCAAGCTTCCAAGCATTCATCTTGTTACTCCTTGTTTCTGAAAAGTCAGTGAGGTGTTAACCTCTGACTTACCCCTGAGTTCCCAGACTCAACATTTGTTGCAACTTGTCTGAACCACTTCACTACATCACACACCTGATTGCTGCGTTGTGGAATAGTCTAAGCTACAACCCTTTGGCTCTGTTTCCTAAGACAGTGTGTTGTCTTAGTAAAATCATCCCTTCCTTGAGTGGCTAGATTCTCACATCTGGTGCACCCACCATTACACCAAAGGGTCATAGCTGTTACGACGGAACAAGAAGGCTGGCCAACTACAGGACAGGAAGGAGGGAGGTCGCATGAGACCGGCCCTGGTACCTGGAGGGGCAGCGGGAAATAGTAGTTCCGAAAGTATCACGTGACGGACTCGCAGGATGATGAGAAGAGTCCTAAGAGTCCAGGACTCCGAGGACTCGAGTGAGTTCCCAGGAGTCCACTAGGCACGTGACGGACTCGCAGGATGATGAGAAGAATCCTAAGAGTCCAGGACTCCGAGGACTCGAGTGAGTTCCCAGGAGTCCACTAGGCACGACGCCACTATATAAGTAGATAGTATTTCCTTAGATAGGAGCTTCCAATATAGTATTCTTTACAATACTGTAACGTGTTACTTGGAAAGCCTTTGTGTCTAATCCCCTGCCTCCTCTGTCAAGTCAACCTTACGCAAGAAACCTCTGTGTCTTCTATCATTTAGAAGTCAGCGTTACACATAGGTGATTTCTAGACTTTTTGCATAACTTAGGCTTAAATACAGTTATCCACCCTGTCTAAAAGAGCCTAAGATGCCTACCTAAAAGAGAGGACAGAAGGTGCTAGAAAAGCACCTATAGGTAGAAAAAGTGTAAAGGCTACTAATAAGCTAGTGGAGAAGCGTCGTTAGAAATAGGTTTGTTGATTACTATGATTATTACTATAAAGTCATTGCTAACATAAAACAGTCGATGCCCTCTATGAGATTAGAAGATACTAAAGGACAACAGAGCCTCTCATCCCCTATGCACCTCTATTATAGATCATAAGAGAAATCATTGTTAATCTTAAGGAAGACTTCTAATTCTAAGCTTCTGCTGTAACTGTGCTCTAAGAAGCTGCAGAGTTAATGCTTATGAAGGAGTTCGAAAGTAAGTGAACCTACAAGTTTATAGTAATCATTATAGTAATTAGTATAGTGACCTAACTTGCTGCCATCTATGCAAAGTGTGTGATAATTCATTTGTGTAGGCCATGCACCTCTACATAACAGGCTTTAGGTTTCTAGGCAACAATGTTTAAGAGGAGGTTAACATAGAAAGGAAAGGCAGGCAAAGGCCAAAGTAGATAGGTTGTAGAACTTTAATGAAAAACCTCTCAACCTGAATTATATAGATAAAGTTAGCAGCCTATTATGTGTTATACGACTTAATCGAACATGTGATAGTTACTAGTTTGCTAAGAAACCACTAGGGAACCACACTAGTCTAGGTGGTTTGGCCTGGTTTTCTAACCTAGACTGTAGTCTAGGTTAGAAAATCTTTAGACTAGCAGTTTAGAACCATTAGTCCCCTATGACACATGCTAATCCTAAGAATGAGCGTTTAGGCGTAGAGGAATATAGACAAGAATCATGCTGTATATTAAGACGATCATGACCATGGAACATCCATTTAGATTAGTAGTGCCGATTAAGGTCAGACCATTTTGACTAAATTCTAAAAACTTTACTTCATCCATTGTAGGCAGTATTTTCCTAAAGGCTATTAATAAAAGACTTTGAGCAATTTCTAGAATTGCTTAGACTCTTAACTTTTAATATTGAGAAACTAATACTAAGCATGTGAGGCTAAATATGAAATCATAATAAAGCAAATACAAGTAACGTATTTCATAAGTGAGTTAGCATCCTAAGCAAGTTGGTAGCAAAAACACAAAAATTAACTATTACTACAACTACTACTACACCACTCTACATAATGATCCTTATTTAATTGTAATTGATTCCTAGTGCCTCTTGCATGTACAAGTGTTATGCCCTATAGTGTCACATTCTCTATAGCGCTACTGTTAGCCTATAGAACCCACCTACTAAGTGGTCTTACTTGCCACCTCTATATGGACTTAAGCATCAACCTTAGCACTCTAAAGGATATCCTCTCTGTCTTATATAGAGAGACTACCCTCTTGCATTATACGCCTCTTGCGATAGGTTCCGATCGAACGACTGTTTGTATATTAATCAAAGTGTTAAATCCACTTGTACCTTTGAATCTCTTCACGGCACAACTGTGTTTGGTAGATGCCATTCTGGTTGGCTATCTTGAGATTCCCAACCAACCCTGACAAGCTCTCAGCCATTCCAGATACGCGCTCCTTTAGTGCATCAAATTTTCCATCCTGGGCGTGAAGTCATGTCTGGATTGCATCAAATTTTTCATCCTGGGCGTGAAGTTGTGTCTGGATTTTCGAGTCATTTGCTTCCAAGTTTCGACGCGACTGTTTAATAGTCCTTATATCATCGTAGATAGTGTTTTTTCGAGGCCCTGTGAAATGTTAACGAGGCTTGTAAAGCCTAAGATGAGGATATGTAGGACATACTCTTTGACAGCACCCTCCCTGGAATACGGTGCATACTCGGTCTCTGGTTCAAGTCCTTTGGTTTGAGGTTGTTTTTGGCGAAGTGCTATCAAATTCGAACTTGGAGCCCTTCTAGATCTAATCTATGCTTTGCAACTTTGAGGAAAACTCGTTGGTCGGGGGAGCGGACTTTGCGTCTAAAGCAGCAAATAGGTCGCCGCTCATCAAACGTAGAATTTATGAGACCACCACAGAATAAGCAAGCTTCACATCTCAGTTGCCCGAGGTGAATGCGAACGCCCAAACAAGGTTCAGGAGTGTGATGTTGTATCAAGCCGCGGGATGTGGTTTCTATATCGTACTATACAATAAACTGCCTCCCTCTATTTATCACACACACCCTACCACCCCCCCACGGCGCTTATCATACACCATCCCCCCCTTTCCCCCACTTCCTCCCCCAAGCACCCCTCTACCCCCTCAACCCGGGCATAAACGCCATCCCCCCCCCTGCCCCCCCTCCGCCCTCCTCGACCAAACATGCTCCCTCAACCTCCCCAAAATCTCACTCCCCTCCCACCTCCCCGGCACAGGCCTATACGCAGGCCTATACGTCCCCAGCGTCTGCGCCCACTCCCCCTTCGCCGGCTCCACAATCCCCCCCCCCTTCTCATCCACCGGTGCCTTTCCTGATGTAGGACCCGTGGCCTTTCCCCGTGAGCCAGATGTGGACCCGGGCTCCTCGGGCTGAGTAGCCCAGTAATAAATGTCCCAGTCGTTCTCATCGAGGAGGCGGTCGTAGGCGGTCATTTGGGCGAGGGTCATGTTGGGGAGGTGGGCGTCGGCGAAGGTGGAGAGGAGGAGGTCGGCTTCGCGGATGCCGCGTTTGCGGGATTGGTCTGTGGGGTGGGGGATTAACTTGTGTCTTTTATCGAGATGGTGGGAGGAGGGGGTTGAGAAGGGCGCTGTGCTGGGCCGAAGGGGGAGGGGAGGCTCCTTTTGCTCCGCTTCGTTCTTTGGAAAGACAAAGAAAGCTCCCTGGGCCAAGGTCATCACGGACAACCCCCAACCCCACCACAACTCCCCCCCCCCCAACAACAAAAAAAAGTTCACTCACAAACAAGCCTAGCCCTCATAGTCCCCTCATCCTCCCCAACCCTCACAATCGGCGCCATCGCCCCCTCCGCCCCCTCCAGCTCCCCAACCCCCAACTCCCCCTCATTCTTCTTCCCATTCACCAACCCCCCATTCTGTTCACCGACACACAGAATGAGCGCGCGCTGCATAAGGGCAGGCGGCTTTGTATCGAACGGCGGGGCGCTGCTGTGAGCGGCGCGCGGAGGGTGCGGAGGATGGGGGAGGAAGCGCGTGGGGCGGCCATGGTGTCTTTATATGGTTTTGATGTGTCGATTCGTAGTTCAACCTCTCGTCACTATCAATTCGCTTGTTCGCTCGTTCGTTTCAGTCGTGGTATATCCCTTCTCTCTCAAAAGTCCCAGCCGCCAGGGTAGCCTCGGCTCCCGCTTCCGACGCTAGTGCGTATGCGGTTTAGCGCATTTGAGCTCTACAGTTACAGTAACGGAAGTCGTGGCGTATAAAATTATTATTTCTTTTATACGGAGATAATTTTTGAATAACGACGTCCACAAGCGAGTGTCGCATACAAGTGAGTGTCGCACGCAATTGACAGATCCTAACAAACTTTCTAACAACAACAACTATAGACTAGAAAATCAATTAAATTAATTATACACCTATTCTATAGTATCTTCTTAATCCCTTTGACATGTGCGAGCATTATGCCCAGTCTTACCACACATTCTGTAACGTCGTTGCTGTCTTTCAACCCCACCACCCTGTCGTAGTTCTTGAGATATCTGCTCTTCCACACCTAGGTGAGCAAGTACATCCTGACCTTCTTGAATTGTAAGGCACCCTCCTTGTTGTATACGCTTTTTTTTTTCGCTTTTTGCGCTGACTTGCAACTTCATTTGCTTGTTGTAAGGCCTGAACTTCCGCCTTCATTAGAACAGCAGAATGCACCATTGTTTGAGCACCTCTTAACAACTGGTCTAGCGCATTGTTAATAGGAGTTGGTGAGCTATTTTGATGGCATATAATGCGATCTTTAAGATGCGTAGTTTGACTTGCTAGCTCTATTAGATTGTGTGGTGTTTTAGGTTCCCATGAAGCATCCTCAAAGGTTGGTGGTGTTAAAGGCCATAGTTGAATGTCAAGCTGTGACAACACAACATCAGGACAGAATGGAACTAGCCCTGTAGCTCGAAAACTACTGCAGATGTTCTGCTTTGTGATTGCGTCTGTGAAAGCCTGCTTAAAGGCAGGAAGAAACTCAACTTTCGTAACATGGTTTATATGAGTGCGGATTAAGCTCTCAACTTGCCGTCCATATGCCTTCTTAAGTGGTCCAAAGCAACTAACATCAAGCGGTTGAAGTAGATGAGATGAGTGCGGAGGCATATAAAGCAATATTATACCATTCTCCTTACAGTATTGCTCAAACGGTAAAGAATAGTGACTCTCATGGCCATCTAGAATTAACAGGCGATGTGCACCAACTGTACGATGCTTTGTATGCTTATGAAAATGTTGGATCCATTGAAATCCAAGTTCATTTGTCGTCCATCCATTCTCACTTACTGCGAGAATCCAATCTTGTGGTATATCTTCATCATACCATGTTGAGAGATGGTTCTTCCCACTCATAATAATGAATGGTGGGATTGACCATCCTTGCGCGTTAATCCCTTGAATTACTGTTGCCCACTCTCTGTTTCCAGGTTGAATTGCTTTAGGTCGATTCTGCCATTCAGAGTTTGTAACAACCATTGCTGTTGTAATAATGCCCATTTGAAAACCCGTCTCATCAAAGTTGTAGATGTCTGCATCAGTAATTCCATACTTTGCAGTAGTGTTTTGTACAAGTGTAAACCATGCTTTTATGAGCTCTGCATCTTCACATAGAGCTCTCTTATAGTCGTATTTGCGATTAAACTTTGTTTTAAGCTCAACATGGCGTTTAACAAAGTTGGAAGCCCAATTAACTCCAACCTTGCCCACACCTCGAGATGCGAGTAATTGATTGGCCATATCTTCAACAGCACGAAGCCTAGGCGAAAACCCCTGTGAATCTAGGTCGAGGATATTGTCATACTGACATTCGTTGCACTCAGTTTGCTATCAAACTCAAGAGCAAACTTAGAAATCTCCTCCTCAAACCTACAAGTCACCATACATATCTTGGCTTATCACACCAACAACAGAAGCAATACTACTCAACGATTGCTGCAAACTCTTCTACTACATCTGTTTATGCTACATACATCACGGCATATCATTTGGACACTCATTGAACAAGTTATTAAGAAAATCTCCTCCTTAAGGGGGTGGGTCAATACTACCACATGGCATATCTCTACCAACTAGAGGCCTAGGAACATGAACGATAGCTCTAGAAGCTTCTACAACCCTCTATGATTCATTACACGTCATCGCTCCTTAGTTACCCACAAGATTGGTTAAGTTATGACATAATTTGTCTATAGGTACTCTGACCTTGGACCTCCTTTTCACTTCCTATAGGCTAGGAACCCAAGAGATGGTTCTATGGGATTCTCTTACGTTCACTACATGATTAGCAAGCTAGTTGTGGGTCGCACTTGATTTCTAATACATTTACCAAGCCTGGTTAGTCATGGAAAGTCATGGAAAATGAGAGAACTACACTCCTTTGGCATAAATAGGATTGCCCTTTCCTTAAGAAAGGGCAAGCAGGCAATACAGTAAATCGACTAGCACATACTTCTACGTCTTTTCCAAGCTTCCAAGCATTGATCTTGTTATTCTCTGTTTTTGAAAAGTCAGTGAGGTGCTAACCTCTGACTTACCCCTGAGTTCTCAGACTCAACATTTGTTGCAACTTGTCTAAACCACTTCACCACATCATACACCTGATTGCTGCGTTGTGGAATAGTCTAAGCTACAACCCTTTGGCTCTGTTTCCTAAGACAGTGTGTTGTCTTAGTAAATTCATCCCTTCCTTGGGTGGCTAGATTCTCATATCTGGTGCACCCACCATTACACCTGGGTGGCTAGATTCCCACATCTGGTGCACCCACCATTACAGTTATCGCCCACGCACCAACACGTTCCCATCACCTACTCGTTCTTGTGGTTTGGAAATATACTATCCAATTTATTAGTACACTGTCAAACAATCCACAAGAAGGGGTCACTTACCGTTCTCGGAGGGGTGGTCGCTGGCGTTGTTGTTGGAGACAACAAGAAGAACTGGGCGCGGCTGCGTACTCATAGTCTGGCTTACAACAATGAACTCCGAATCGCGTTAGCACAGCCACTTCTCCTTTTATACGTCGGAAAGTTCAAGCCGAACGCTTCGCGGATACGATTCGGAGACGTTGCGGAAATGATTCTCACAGCGTGTTTCGCGAACAAAACACTCTCTTAAGAGGGGGGGTAGTGTAAGGATTCCTCCGCCCTCAGTGACGGAAGAGATCTGAGTCGGACAGGTTACGGTCACGTGGGGAGAGTTAGGGCAGGTTAGCCGAGTCGGACCCGTTTCAGGTACTTAAGGGGATTGACCCATCGGGGTTCCTCATCATCTTTTTTGTATCCTTTGTAGTAGACCTATAGGATAGCATCCGTTTAGCCTCCGACTCGCACTCCCATATGCTATTACTGTGAGCTGGGTGCCCTGTGTCCTTACACCTAGGAAGTAATGTAGAGAAGGGATGAGGAAGCTAGTGGCATTAGGAAGGTAAAGATTAAGAAGGCACAGATGAAGATTAAGGCCTAAGCTAATGCTTTAACGATGGTATAATCACTAACGCTACTATAGAACTAATACTAACAAAGAATTAGCAAGTTCATGGGCTTGGCTTCTCTATCTAGTAGCGAAAGTACAGGTCTACGTACAAGTCGACTTTAAGGCTTATGAAGAAAGTGAACACATACCTAGACTTTCTTAAGAACTTGCCCCCTGCAATCGATCTAGAGACTAGGTAAGTCTTTATATGTAACACTGACTTCTAAACGAATAGGAGGCAGAGTATTGAGCGAGTAGTGCGCAGCCTAGGTGTGAGGTATAACTTGGTATAAGTTGAGAGGAAATGCCGATATGTGAGGATATAAGTTTGACAGTGGCTTCCCAAACGTCCATGTTTGCCTTCGAGCAGTGGTTTGAGAAAGCTGCATCACAAGGTCCTGAACGCGAGATCCCGAGTTCTGTTGCCATTGCTGTTGATCAAGATGATATGTCCCCTCACCCTTCTCCTCATCAACCCCTAAAATACCCCCGTTGTTATATCAATCGAAACCATAAAGATTCAATAGCTAATCAACACAAGGAATCATCTACACGAAATCCGTGGGCACCCAATCCGAAAACCCCACCTTCCCTCTCGTCTCCAAACCCATCTCTTCGGACACCGTCATGTGGGTGGCCTCCTGCACCAAACTCCTCACCTCACCTCCATCTCCCTCCTGCAGCTCATAGAGCCCGAACTCCTCTCCCTCGACGCCCCCATTGCCTCTCTCCTCCCCGAGCTATCCGACCCCTCCGTCTTCACCGGCTTCAACTCCGCCACTGCCCCGGAGTTCACTAAGCCAGAAAAAGGGGTCACCGTAAGGATGATGATGTCCCACCAGAGTGGGGTACGATATCGTGCACCCCTACATCACGAAGCTGCGGACTGTCCCGGATAACCTCTCCTGGGTAGTGTTATTAGGGGAAATGCAGAGAGAGGGAGTGTTTGTAGAAGGGCTGTGTTGAAGCAGTATTTTAGGCAGTCCCAGATGCCGCCGTTGAAGTTTAACGTTTCTATCAAGCCACACCGACGCTTCCTCCGCACCCTCAACGGCAAGAAACCTAATATCCCCATTAGCAGCCCGATATATAGTGTCAAGACTTACGTACTCTTCGAAATGTATTTCCCGCCTCTACATGCTTGTTTTAAGTGGCGTTGCCGAGAGTGCATTGTTTATTCTTGGTACTCTTCGTCCCAATATACAAAACATGTTAGCTAGTTATTCACTCAAGGTCTTGCGACGGCTGACCTCCAGTGAACCAGCCATTTGAGTTCCCATCGCGCATAACCAAGGTCCAACTAGAAGCCATCAGGGAATCGAGCAGAAGGTATCAACAACACATCAAACCCCCAAAAAAACACAAGAATCAATTAATAATAATTCATCATAATCTATCTAGGCCCCTTTAACCCCGGCATTACACCCACACCCACACCACCACCACTGATACATTCAAACGTCCACCACACCCGACGTCCAACACGCCCGCCCATGTCCGCCCGCTCCATGTTCCCATGCATGCGCTCCCCTTTTAACATCCCCACCGACGCCACGTATACGGACAGCCAGCTCCTCTCTATTCATACCCGTACTCATATAACACCACAGAGAACAACATCGGCGGGAACCCCCAGGTAACTTCCCCTCCAAAATAAAAGCACGAAGCCAAAAGAGGGCGTTCCTGCAAGTTTCGCCAAGTTCTCCCGTTCTCACTTCACTTCACTTCAACTCCAGCTTAGTCCTCCGCGCAGCAACGCAATTGATACAAAACCAATTACGCGCCTTCTAAGCCTTCCTCGAGCGAGTGACGCGACCAGGGGTCGCGTTTCCGTTAGCCTTATTGGCGGGCTGGATCTTGCCCTGGGTAATGGCTGCGATGTCTGGGAGCTCGGCGTCCTTGAGGGAGCGGGCGGCCTTGCGGCCGGTGGGGCGCTTGCCGTCCTTCTTGTAGGTGGCGATGTAGAAGGAGATGAAGAGGAGGAGGTAGGAGGAGATGATGCCCATGCCGGCGAAGGCGGCGAATTCCTCGCCTGCACATTGGCCGGCGTTGGGCATCCACTTGAAGTAGGTGGAGGTGAAGTAGGTGTAGGAGGCGAAGTAGACGAAGACTGTGAGGGTTGGTTAGCGGGGGTTTGGGAGCAAGGGCTTGAGAGGGGTTGTTTGGGGGGGCTTACCGAGATCAATGACGAACTGGATGATCTGGAGACGGGTGATCCACTCCTTCCACCAGATGCGGATGCCACGGGCGCTCTGGAAGTAGTACCAGTACATGACGACGTGAACCATCAGGTTGAGGGTGATCGGGACCCAGGAGACGGAGGTGAGGCCGATGAGCTGGGTGTAGCAGAGGAGAGCGGTGGCGCCGTGGTGGTAGCAGTGGAGGAAGGCTGTCTGTGGTTAGTTTTGGCCTGGAAAGACGAATGAAGTCACGTACTTAATGGCTTCTTCTTCAGGACCAGGAAGACGGTATCGATCAATTCGAGGTACTTGGTGAGGTAGTTAAGCTGTATCTGTTAGCAATTTGCTCCCATTGTACTGCTTTCAGGAGACATACATAATACAGGATAACCAGGTGGTTAGTCCATCCACCCTTGACGTCGCAGATGGCAAAGAAAAGGCCCTTGTTGTACAGGGTTGGGATCAGCTCCTCGGCGAAGAGGGCCAGCAGTATGCCACTGATCGCAGTGAGGTAGAGGTTGTGTATCATAAAGGGTCCATTGAGCTTAAATGCCGGGCGGTTGCGCATCAGCTCGCGGCCGCCGAAAATTACAACGTAGTATGTGAAGATCAGCGCAGCGGTCTCCTTCAGGGTCGACATGGGAGTGACATGGGGCTGGAAGTCGAAGTCCTCGGGGTGGTATCCCTTGATGGCCGTGAAGGCCTTGTCGAAGATGGGCCAGAGGTGGACGCCGAAGGGGCGGTCGATCGTCGGGCGCTGGATGGCCCCGAGGATCTGGTCGATTGGTGAAGCCGACATCTTTAAAAAAAGGGAGAGGCGTATGCGCAAATGCGAGAGGAAGCCGCGAAGGTTCGTGATAGGGGCGTAAAGCCAAAGAGAAGGGTTGTTCTGTCGAGAGAATCGGAAGTTGGGAGAAAAAGTTGGTCGAAGTAGGTCGCGCGACTCTCCTTACGCGGTGAGCTGTTGCCGAATGCGGAAAGCTGAGAGAGAAGGGAGGTAAAAAAAGCGTTTGACAATTTCAATCAAGGAATGACGAGAAGTGAAGAAAGGGGATTATGATCACCAACAAAGATGACCTCCTAGACCAAATACAAAACACAATTGAATGTGGTGATGGGTTTTTGAGGTTTTGAAGGGGGGGGGGGGGGGTGGGGGGGGAAAAGAGAAGGGGGTCGTGTTTATGTGAGGGAGGGAAAAGTAAAGTTGGCGGAAGTGGCATCGAGATTAGCGAAAGGGGGAATTCCAAGCTGAATCAGCCGTGTTGGTGTTTTGGGGGGAGGTGGGACAGTGGAATTTGGAATTTGGGAATTTGGGATCATTTACAAGGGTTGTATGGGCTCTGGAATGAACAGGGATTATTGTAGGGGATAATAAAAATATGACGAGAATCGGCAGGAATGAGAGGAATATTGTGAATTTAATAAAATAATTATCAGCTCAGTAGAAGTATTTTAATCTGAATAATCTGAATAATCTGAATAATCTGAATAAGTTAATTGGTTGTTAGTAGCAGATGCCAGATATGATGGATCGATGGAATGCGCGTCTTCACATGACAGGGGGATTTCGGGAAATTCGAAATTACATGTACGACGTGTACGACGCAGCCTCGGATTTAACGAGTACGGTTGGTATAGTCACGTGGCCTAGTCACCACTATTGTCACATGATGTTTTTTTGGGGTTATTTTTGGTTTTTTTTGTACATTATCACATGACTAAGTTACTCTTTTAAGGTTCTTCGTTTCTCCCCTTCCGTGCTGTCGTCAATCCAGCCACAACCCCTTCACACCTCGTAATCCAGGCACCCACGCTACCCACAACCCTTTCCCCCTTTCAGCCACCACCATCGCTTAGTGCTAGGGCTTCCAATAGTAGCAACCCACTTTCGAGATTCCGCCAGAAACCGACGAAATTTCGAGTTGCCAATTTTTGAAGCCGACAACAACATCTCGACAACCGACGACGAAATGGCTTCCCGACCAACAGTCACGATCCTGTCCGCCGATGGCACTGCCAGCGGTGCGACTCACCCTCTCCCGCGCGTCTTCACTTCGCCAATCCGTCCGGATATCGTCCAGTATGTTCAACCACAAACTCAACAATTTTGTACCAAACCCCGGCGCGAGGCCACGGGGAGATGGATTATGGGGGCAATTGCTGATTGATGTGCTCTACAGGACTGTCCACACCGGAATGGCCAAGAACAAGCGTCAGCCATACTCCGTCGCTGAGAAGGCTGGTCACCAGACCTCTGCTGAGTCTTGGGGAACTGGTTAGTACAGACTATTTTATACATGTTGGAAAGGGAGGAAGGAGGGGTAAAAGAGAGGGGTCAAGAGGGAGAGACACACTCGACACGATTGCTGCAGAAACACAAGATGCGGGAATTGCTTGCTGGCAGAGAACCGAAATGCTGACTGAAAAACCTCGCAGGTCGCGCTGTTGCCCGTATTCCTCGTGTCTCTGGAGGCGGAACTCACCGTGCTGGTCAGGCTGCCTTCGGTAACATGTGCAGATCCGGTCGCATGTTCGCCCCTACCAAGGTCTGGCGCAAGTGGCACCAGAAGATCAACCTGGGACAGAAGTGAGTCAAAAAACCGATTACGCAGCCTCGTATGATATCTCCAAAAACTAACAAAACCCCAGGCGTTTCGCAACTGCTTCCGCCCTGGCTGCATCCTCCGTCCCATCCCTCCTCCTCGCCCGCGGTCACCAGATCTCCACCGTCCCAGAGGTTCCACTCGTGATCAACTCCGAGGTCTTCGCCAACGCCTCGATCTCCCGCACCTCCGCCGCCGTCGCTCTCCTCAGCTCCGTGGGAGCGGGCGCCGACGTCTCCAAGGTCAAGGCTTCCCGCAAGCTCCGCGCCGGAAAGGGTAAGCTACGTGGCCGCCGTCACCGCCAACGCCGCGGACCCCTCGTCGTCTACAACCCGCTCGAGGACGGAACTGAGCTCTCGCTCGCTTTCCGCAACATCGCCGGTGTCGAGACCTCCTCTGTCTTCGCGCTGAACCTCCTCCAGCTCGCACCTGGCGGCCACCTCGGACGCTTCGTCATCTGGACCTCCGCCGCCTTCAAGGCCCTCGACACCGTTTACGGCTCCACCACCGCCCCCTCGGCGCTGAAGAAGGACTTCCTCCTCCCATCCGCCATCGTCACCCAGGCTGACATCGGCCGTCTCATCAACTCCTCCGAAATCCAGACCGTCGTCCGCGCCGCCAAGGGCGACGCCCGCACCAAGCGCACCGCCGTGCAGAAGAAGAACCCGCTCCGCAACAAGCAGGTCCTGCTCCGCCTGAACCCATACGCCGCTGGCTACTCCAAGGACAAGATCGGCACCAAGGGTCTCGAGGCCGGAAAGCCGGTGCGCGCGGTTGGCAAGCCATTCGCACAGATCCTCAAGGAGGATTAAGCGTCGGTTTTGCTGGGTTGAGGGGTGTCGTTGATTATGCATCGTTTGCTTATAAATCATGGATGTGGCTGCTAATGGCGCATTGAGGATGATGTCTCGGTAGTAAACTGAATGACATTAAAAGATTTCAAAAAAACGAGTCTTCATGTGGTTCATGACTGTGATGTTGGTGTAACGTAAACTTCACACTTCGGTAATATTTCTCTCAAATTTTTCTAGGTATTCCAAAAAAACACTAATTGTCATATTCTCGTATCACCATGACCAAGAACTGTATTTGAGCCGGGGAATATATTCTTTCAAACCAGGCATCGGGTTGGACATGGGTATAAAACCATGGAGCTGCATCATGCTCGCTCAACAATTCAACCAGTTACATCGTACAACAGTTATTTCGTGGAACGAAAGTCTCCTATATCTTATTATTTACCTCAGCATATTCTTCTTGATGTTAGCAGCGTTCGTGTGTCATCCACTGAGTCTTGTTGTCGACAGGAGTCTTATTGCCAGTAGAGTTTTGATGTCGACGTTTTCCTGTCGGCACAGTCTTGTTGTCGTAGAGTCCTGTTGTCAACAGAGACAAGATGGATCGCTGTACATCTTGTCTAGTAGGTCTATATCAGCATCTGCTGCTTTAGGGCTCCAGCCGAATTGCGAAAATCGATGGTACTGTAGTGTAGGGCTCCCGGTTCGTGGCGCATACGGAACGTTTCTGGTGCCCGCGAGTCCTATCTCGACGGGGCCCATGTGTAGACAGAGTCCTGATATACTCAGCAGGCTGGTTCATTGGCGGCCTCTCTCACCGGCCTTGAGTTTTTTGTGCGTAAGGAAAACGGAATAATCCTGTTTTTGCCCTGAGTCGAGATTCCGGAAATTAAATTGGGGAGAACTTATATAACTAGTTAGTTAGCTATTTTGGAAATAATATTATAATTATTATTTACCCCATGCAATAATCATCATATTTTTAAAAACCTACTATCACCGAGAGTAATTTATTTACGAAGGTTCAACGTCGCCAATATTTACTCTTTGGATTCCCCAAAATCTAACGAAAAGCAAATATATTCGAGAAGCAGGGTAAAAACCTGCGAACCAGCCCCATTAGTTCCTCCGTGTCCCCTCTCTTCCTTCATCACACCTTGAGATATTCAAGCAAATCAGCTCTAATCACCAGCAACCAATTTATCTGTCCGCAATGGTATCACAGCTGTCCCAAACGCCCATCCACGCTCACCCCGTCATTCCCACCCACCTCGGCGGGAACCCATTCCCCTCCCCAGGCGCCACACTACTCCCCCGACTCCCCGCGATCCCCATCCCCGCCACCTTCGGACTCCTCGGGACACTCGCCCCCCTCAGCCCCCTCACCCCCCTCGCTTTAAGCTCCTCATTCTTCCTCCCCAAATCCGCCTTCAACAACCCCGCCTCCGCCTCCAACTCATCAATCCTATCCTTCAGCTGCGCCACCTCGCTATTGGCCTGTATCTCCCTAACCCTCACGATATTCTCGCTCGCCCTCCTCTCCAACACCACCTTCTCAGCCTGAAACTCCGCCACCTCGCTCGCCAGCTCCGCCGCCTGATTCGACGCCCTCTGATACTGCTCGCGCGTGAACTCAAAGTCCTTCGCTGAGCTCACAGCGCGCTTCTCGAGCTTCTCGCGCTCCGCCTGAGCCTCCGCGGCCTTCTCGCGGAGGGCCTCGAACTCGCGCTGCTCCGGGACGGCGGAGGACGCGAGGGCGGCGCGCGCGGTGGTCAGCTCGGCCTCGAGGTCGTCGATCTTGGCTAGCATGGCGATGTTCTGCATGGAGCGCACTTCGAGCTTGGTGTGGAGGGTCGAGGCGCGGGATTCGGCGGCGGTGGCGGCGGCTTCGGCGACGCGGCGCTGGTTGCCGGATTCGCGAGATTGAGAGACGAATTTGTTGACGAGGGTGATGTGCTCGTTTAGCTTGAGCTCGAGGGTTGCGTAGGACTGGCGAAGACGTGCATTGTCCTTTTCATTTTTCTGGAGCTGTGCCATGAGCTCGTGGATGCGGGATTCGGTGGCTGTCTTGGTTTCGAGCTGATTTTCCAGGTCCGCGATCTGGGGGTTGTTAGTATGGGTAATTTGGGGATGAGGGTGGATAGTAGAAGGCTTACCCTTGCTAGAAGTTGTGTTGTTTGATCTGACTGCTCCTGGTCTAATGTGGCGGTAGCTGCGATGGCCTGTTCGGCTGAGTTGGTGAGTGATGGCAGTGAGGAGGCATTAAACTGTGTCTGGAACCCGAGAGAGTCAATGATATGTGAGACCTGTCCGCTTGAAGCGACCTCAGGTGGAACTGGAGTCATTCGCATCCGTTTTGACAAGTCGTCGTCCATCAAATCGTCGCGGGGCCTCTTGGTCATGTTTTGGAGTGATGCAGGTCCTGGAGTTTGTACATCGCGAGACTGTGTGGTCGAGCCAGACTGTTGAGGTAGTAGCGAATCTGGCACGTCAAGATTTGAGACGAAACGATTTGGTGGTAAAGGCCACTCCAATGGCCCATCAACACCAGTGTAATTACTCGACCTGGCCCTCAGATAATTACCAACTGATACGGCAGCATCTTCTGGTCGGATCTTAGTGTTCAATCCAACCTCCTTTCGCTGTTGACAGATGAAATCCACAAGGTAGCACTTCCTTTCCATAGGGTCTAGGGATTCTGGCAGACAAAGCTCAAAATGTTCTGCAGAGTCTTCAACAACCAACATTATTAGTGGAGACTGTTTTGTAGGGTCGTATGTATGAGCACGAAGTGCCTTTGAGTACCGCTCCCCACGGAAGAAGGTCGAATCAAATGCTATTACAGCATCGGCTGGATTGACCACGAACTGTCCGCCTCTGAAGCCTGTAGGAAGAAGTGTAACCGTAAGGGTTCCTCGAGCGGACATATCAGAACGGCTTTGTTTATCGGGTCGGTAATAGTTGAAGTTATGCGTCTGGAGTATGGCTTCTAAAATATCCATCATCTTTCCTGGGCGAGCAAGGACCGCAACATGGCTGCTTGAATCTCTCATTGACTCGAAAAGTCGCTCGAGAAAGTAGCATTTGGGGCTGCAAGTCAAAGCCCACTTTGATATGGCTTCTTCGGACGTTCCACTCTGCGAAAAGCCTTCTTCAGAGAATAAGTCTTTGTGATCTCCGAGCAGCTTGAGGTTCTCAATCATCAGGTCGATCTTTGCCGTAGCCAGAAGATCCAACTGCTCGCCTCTGCGTAATAATTCTATCTCTCGTCTATATTTCGGCACCTGAGAACTATACATGTCTCGCACTGTGGACACCATGGGAATTAGGACTACATGGTCGCTTGATCCGAAGGGTCGCAGTGGGAGTTGCGGGCCTGAAACTTCTTCTTCGTCCGGTGATTTAATTCTAGCCAAATCCGGGGCTGCCATAGATCCATCATCCAAACCCAATGCCGTTTCTCGAACTGGCAGTTCTTGCCTCACTACACATGGCGGTTGTGATGGCTCGTTTGGTTGTATAGGCTGGCTACTCCCAAATAAATTTGCAGAAGCCGTTCTGGCTCTTACAGCGGCAATTGCATCCCGGCGTGCCCGTTGGAGAAATTCGGTCACGTTTGTATTGGAGTTAAATACAACAGGAGACCGACCCTGTATGGAACTTCCACCTCTTGAAACAGGCGCGGGCGAAGCCGAAGTTGACGGCAATGAAGGCCGCTGAACGAGTTCCGACTCGTCTTGCCTTTCAACACTCATGATTATGATTTCTAGAGGCTCTTCTGATGATGTTATCCGTTTTCTATCGGTGTCTTCCTTATTACGGGAATGAGAATGTAGATTATTCGGAGTCAGAGAAATTTCTTTAGGGCAGTCTTGAGAGATATGACTGGATTCGACTTCTGTCGATCTGAATACCTTGGCAGATTCTAAGCTGGTTTGTGATGGAATCTCCGTGTCTTGGGCAATCTGGGCGGCTTGCCAACTTTGATTAGAAGACGCGACGTCTCTCTCAAGTGGACTTGCAGTCACTGGCCTGTCAAGTTCGTTGTCGGAACAATCGGATATTGGCAAAAGAGAATGGCCTCGGTGGACACCAGGGCTTCTGCGGATGTGTTAGCTACAACTTCAATATACAGTTAAGAATATATATGCTTACCTGTTGTAAAAACTGAGATGCTGGCTATCAATGTTACTGGTATCGGTGCTGAACGGCAGCTGTGTTTGAAAACGTCCCTCCGATGTTCTAGCGTTCGACGATACTTGTGGTAGAAATAGACGTGAAAGGTTAGGTTTCGGAGTGGATGGTGGCGAGTTTTGACTCGGCGATGGCTCGGCGGCACTGATTTCGGCGTTAGGATGGAGTCCTCCGTTGGAAATAGACGTAGCCTCGTGAAAACTAGAATTCTGGGACTGCGGGATGGGCACTTGAGACGGTACGAGTTTTGTAGTGAGCCAGCTGTCTTCCGTGGGAACGTTGTTGGGAGTGGGCGCGTTCACGTCGGATATCGTCTCTCCGTATGTAGTAGTATTTTCTTGCGCTTCGGAATTTATGTCATGAACAATGGAGGAACCTTGTTCAACGCCTGATATATCGTCTCTCAGTTGGATCGGATTATTTCCGTTCGGACTGGTTCTGGCCTTATCGTGGTGAGGTGGTGAATGTACCGTAGAATTTCCCCTTTCCGGAGTACCTGGCCAGGTTCTACTTCGGACGGACCTTCGAAAGTCTGCACCGTTGGCTCCGACTGCCTCTTGGGAATCTGGGATGATGCGGTCTCCGTTGTCTTCCTGTGCCCTCTGCAATTTATCTCCCGCAGATTGCGAGCGATATAACGATCGTTCAGTAGGAGGTGCCTGGGAGGCAAAAGACGAAATTTGCGAGATACCAATGTATCTGTCTCGATTCAACTCTTCTAAAGGCGCAAGTGGGACTTCAAAACTGCGGCTATGGGGTTGTGGGGTCTCTGCGACAGTGTCAAAACTGTCGTCTATCTCTGGGGGATTGTCCGATATTGGTTGTGAGGTGGGATGATTTGAAGGCCTGGCTGTGAGAGGTGATTTTTTTGAAGAATGCGGTACGTTGTTAGAAGTTTGAGAACTACTGGGTATGGCAAAGTCTATTGCCTGAATATTTTGGGCGGATAGAACTTGCTCATTAGGCGTCGTCGATTGATCCCAGGTTAATTGCGAGCTACGATTGGTGTCTCCTACTTCGCAGATATGGGCTTGAGATTGCGACTCTGGAACGGTCTGTGGCCCTTCTTCACGAACTTGTCTTGTTGGGGTAGACCCTTCTATTGGAATAGCAACGTTGCCTTCTGGTGGTAAAGAGTCCGAAGAGTCCCGCCTGTAATTGTTGGCCTTTTGGATTTCCTGGGCGACGGTTGTAAGCCTGCTGCGTTTAGCTGGCTTGATAGGCTGGCTATCTGGGGACTCCTGAGTCGAAGCAGGGCTTTCGACAACAATAATTTGAGTTCTCTTGCGTTTTGCGTCCCTGACTGGTTCGCTCTCCTGGGTAGAGTCCGGAACAGGGGTTGGTTCTTCTTGATGGTTCTCCGGTGACACGGGATTGAGCACTTCCGCTGCGTCTTGGCTCTGTGGTTTCTGGATGGGATTATTTCCTGTCTCCACCTGAGCTTTCGTTTCTTCCCAGGCAACAATGGCGTCTTGTTCAACGAAGCTTTTCGGCTCCCAGGTAGGCTCGTATGTCTCGCCGGTGACTTTGTCGTCCGCCCAATCGATAAGGTAGTGAGTCTCACTCTCGTCTAAGATATCGCGAAGATCGAATAATTGATTCTCGTCGTACTTCTTCGGGGGCGTCTCTCGCTTCCTCTTTACTTTGCGACGAGGACGTTGTGGGGACGGTGTGTAGTCTGGGGTAGGAGACAGAAGGGAGTTCTTTCGCGGCGTTCCTCTTGGTCGGTTCCTGCCTTTAGACAGATGATTTTGCTGTGAAGTTATGGGCGATTTTGGCGGGGCAGTACTTGAATTCCTCGGTGGGCGTCCGCGACGACGCGGTTGTAGTATTACAGCTTCTGAGTCCGACGTGGACTTCGACGACATGGAATCAAAATGCAGGATGTGGCTGGGGTGCCATGTGAGTTCGTGAGGCCAATATTTGGCGGCCAGTAATTCTAAAAGAAAGTCAGAATGCGTGAGTAAGGAGAGAGCGCATCAGTATCTTACCCTCTGCACAAGACGTCCGCGTTGGTTGCCAATGTCCTCCAACGCAAGGTGAGTTTGTTTCCTTAAGAATGTCTTATCGCCCGCGACGTGCGAGGCTATCAGTAAAGGTCCGATCGGAGTCACGTGTTGCCAGCATACATGTCCGTATCACGTGCAGGTCATCGTTCTTATTTGCTGACTAATGTCCGAGTTAGAGCCAATCATGAAATCTTGACCCGCCCTGTTCCGAGGAGCCATCCACCAAAAATCTACCCTTCCATCATACCGAGTTCCTTGAAATCCCCAGCACAACCTATCTCTATCATACAACACGATGTCCACCAGCTCCGTCCTGCGCGCCCTGCCGCGCGCCATTGGCCGCACTGCTGGCTTCCGCGCCGTGCGCCCTTCGCCCGTCCTCCGCAGCTACGCCCCGGCTTTCTCGACCGCACGAGTGCTAAAGGCCGACAACGCTGACGGTCACGGACACGAGGAGAGCTTCGAGGAGTTCACTGCCAGGTAAGGAGACCCAATTGGAGGTTGGCCTTGTTGGTGGACCTCTTGCGGTGCTGGGTGTTGTTGCCGAGAAGAAATCGAACCGAGGGCTTTTGGACGTCATTGGGAGAGCTGTGAGCTGATACGCGGTGCACCTAGATACGAGAAGGAGTTCGATACTGTCCAGGATGTCTTTGAGCTGCAGGTATGTTCAATTGGCTATGTTGGACTAGAAGAGGGGTTGCGGGGTGTATGCTAATCGTACCACGCAGCGTAACCTCAACAACGCCTTCGCATACGATCTCGTTCCATCGCCATCCGTGCTCGTTGCTGCCCTGAAGGCTGCAAGACGCGTCAACGACTACCCTACCGCTGTCCGTGTCTTTGAAGGTAAGAAATCACTTCCGAAGGCCGAAAAGTTGGCAGGAAAGCCAATGTGTGTGGACACACATGCTAATGAAAAGCAGGCATCAAGGCAAAGGTCGAGAACAAGAACCAATACGATCAGTACCTCGAGGAGCTGCGCCCGATTCGCGAGGAGCTCGGCGTTGAGCTGAAGGAGGACCTGTTCCCAGAGGAGTCCAAATAGATGACAAAATCCGTGTAATCGAGGGAGTGGGCAGTGGTAATGATCAGTCGTAATAGAGCTTCTTGGAATTACTACGGGGAGGGAAGAGGATGGGTATAGGATGGGGGGTGTAGGTGAGGTGGAGATTTGGAACTAGAGCGATTTTCTTAACTGTATAGTTGGCGGTTGTACTATGAACGCATTAAACGGGTGTCCATATATACGCTTCTCGTCTTGGCTCTCCTTTCTTGTGAATCTTCTCTGTTTTTGCGTCCAAGGAGTGATCGAGTGCATTTTGTGATCCAAGGCGTGTGGCTACAGCATAGAAAGACTTATAAACACGACTCTTCATTTGACGGGCAGCGGACAGAGCAACAACAGTGATTGTTATTTTCCCCGATACGCTCAGGACCTGCTATGGACAGGGTGGGTACCAGTTGTCAGTCGGGAATAGACTGTTGAGAGAGCGAATGGCGATATCTACAAGCCTATCCAGAGCGGAAACGGATCTCTCTGGTCTATGTGACAATTCGTCCATTCATGAGGTACGCTCAGTTCAAGTTCTCAAAAAATACTCTACATGCGCGGGAAAATGATTCAGGAAGAGATGGCAGATTGGGCTAAGGCGGACGAATTAATCCTGCCATTTCTTCAGACTTGCGCATACCTACGTTTTTCGTGAAGTCTAAACGACGTAGCAGCAGTAACAGGAAACAACTCGATAGCAACAGCTCTGCGGCGATGACATCTCTACGGCGACAGCAGATTTGCGGGGCAATAGCTATGCGGTGATAGCAGCTACAGCATCGGTAGTGGAGGAGAAAGTTCTGCTGTTGTCTTTAACACAGAGGCCTCGAGTCTCTTCGTCCGCTCTTCAAGCAGAGACCTAAAGACGAGCCTCGAAACTCGTCTCCTGTAATTATTATATTCTTTGACTGAGCCATGTATTGGTGCCGACTGGTCCACTGCTATGTATGTAGAGAGCGCAGTTAATGTAAGGTATGTTGCTTTCAGTATGTAACGACGGCACGGCGGCATCTTACTCATTATGCTGGGTTGCTTAGAGATTGCCATGTTGTTAATGCCAGGGCTGAGCTCGAAGTAAATTTTTGCTTTTTTTAGGGATAGTCAATACTTCATCATGCCCAAGGGCTGTATAATTTTATGTCTGGATCTACAGCAAAGCCGATTGCTAAATTCTCCGTATCCAGATATCACTCCCACACCCCAACCAAGATCATCTCCATCTCAATCCAACCATCTATCCAACCATTCACGCCCTTCCCTTAATCTTCCCCTTCGCACTCCCAGGACTCTCCCCCACCCTCCCCAACCTCGCCATAAACTCCTCCCCCCTACTCCCCCACCACTCCTTCAACCTCGCCACATACGCCTCCTCGCCCTCCCCAATCTCCACGGGCGGGCCCCGACACTCCGTGACGCGGCTCCGCTTAAACACAGCCCAGCTGCTACTATCCTCGCTGCGGAGTGCGAATCCCTTATCCTTCTCCGCCTTGACCGAGAAATTGCGCAGGAGTACGCCGTCCCCAACCTCGACGTCGGGGAGGGCCTCCTTGTAGGGCCGGAAGACTTGGATCTCTACGACGCCGGTGGGTGCGATGGAGGGGTCGGTAACGTTGAAGCGGAGGTGGTAGTGGCGCGGGCCGTGTTTGGCGCGCTGGGCTTCAGGGGGGGCGGTGGTGGCGATGGCGAGGACGTCGAGGCGTTTGCCAAGATTGTGGCGAAGCACTTTGAGAGGTGTGAAGTCACTGAGGTTGGTGCGGAGGGCTTTTGCGAGGCTGGCGCGGAGGGCGGTTTCTGAGAGAGGCTGCGTGGGGGGTTTTTGAGGGGTGGTGGGCAGTTGTTTGGAGGGCGGTATGAGGTGGTCTTTGGTGGCGGTTGGTAAGGTGGCGGCGGGTATTTTAGGCGTTGCTGAGGCCTCGGCACGATCTTGAGATCGGGTGATGCGGGTGCCGGGAGGTGATGTTGATGGTTTTGATCCAAGGTTGTGTCTTGGAGTCTGTGGTGATGGCTGGGACTTTCCTGAGGGGCTGAGAGCCTTCGATGCAAGATGTGATGTAGTATCACGGTCCTTCCGTGTGCTCGGCGCACCTGTCACCAGCGGGGGGGATCGACCTGTTCGAGTACTTACGGGAGAAGTGGCTGACCTGAGACTCATCTTTTTATCCATCGTTGGTGTAGCGGGAGGTTGGAGAGTATCCGTTGTCGCCTTCGTTGATCTAGTGGCTCGTTTCGTAACCTTGACGAGCTTCTCATTTATCGATTCAGTGCCTTCGACGCTGTTGTATACGACTTCATCTGTAACAACTTTATCAGCTGTGGCGTCGTTTTGCGGTTGCTTTTCAGTCGAGGTCGTGAATGGCGCATCTTGTGGAGTCATAGAGGATACTTGAGTAGCGTCAGGTGTCATCAATTGGGCTTTTATTAGTTCAATATCGTCGTCAACATCTTCTTCTTGGCCCTCGCCAAGCGAAGTCATTTGCGTTTCGATAGCGCTGCTTTCGTCCTGAGGCAAAGAAGGATAAGTTACTTCGGCAAGTGCAGCACCCTCCCTGACCTCCGCTGGAGACCTGTCTTTTTGTCTAAGTCCCCCCTCAAGCTGTTCCTCCTCGAGTTGTTCCTCCTGGAAATGCTCATCCTCGAGTTGCTCATCCTCAAGCTGCTTAGCCTGAAGCTGTTCATCCAGACTTGCTCGAACGTTGGCGACTTCAGGTTCTTGAGCTTCCTGATCAAGTTCCATCTCGACTGGCTGTGGCTGTGTAATCCTGTTGTCGGCAACTTCTCCTTCGGCTGCCTCGATCTGCATTTCTTCAGCCGGGCGAGAGGTAGGCGTTTTCTCCTTTGCGGTCCTCGACTCTGTAGGTACATCGTTTGCACCATCCATGAAGCGCTGTTCGACAAGACCTCCTTCCATGGTGTCATCTTCGTCTTCATAGCCGCCCACCTCCTCCACCATCGACAAGTTTGCGTTGTCAGGTTTAGGAGGGAGAGTGGCAGCTGGCACTTGTTGCATCTCTACCTCGTTCTGCATTTCTGTGGCAGGCGGGGTACCAGGTTGCCATACTTCCGCAGCGCCGGTTGGTTCTTCTCCTTCTAACCCAGGGCCCTCAGAGCCTTCGGACTCATCAGATTCTTCGCTTTCTTCGTCGCCTGGGCGCCCGATGGCCATTCCCTCTTCTTCAGATTCTTCCTCGAAGTCTGCTTCTGCATCTTCACCGAGTTCTTCGTCTTCCATTACATTATCTTGTACATTGTCCTCTACATCCGCAAAAGACGAGTCTTTATGAACAAGAGGGGGTTTGGGCGCAGATTCAGGCTGTTCTTCCTCGTCATCCGACGATAGAAGATCTATAAAGACCGGCTCAGACTTCGCTGCGGGTTGTTGCTGTTGCTGATGAGCAGGGCCTAAATCCTCTTCGCTCATCTCCTCGTCATCGTAGCGCCCTTCGCCGTCTTCATCAAAGTCCTCTCCTTCATCAAAGTCCTCTCCTTCATCAAAGTCCTCCCCTTCAACAAAGTCCTCTCCTTCTTCGAATTCTTCGCCTTCCTCCGCATATAGAGCTTCATCACCACTATCCATCTCGCTACCCTCATCATCATCTGAGAACTCTTGTTCTTCGGATGGATGAGCTTCGTCGTCGAGCTCGCTTTCGCCGTCCTCATTACTGTATTTCAGCTCGGCGGCGCCACCTCCTTGCTCGTCGGGAAGCTGTTGCTGGCGATAATACTGCTCAGGAACTTGCCTGGGCGTTATTTCGATTTCCTCACCAGATTCATCTCCTTCCATTTCTTCATCAGAGCCGATTTGACGGCGGTCTAGTTCTCTATCGCCTTCCTCGCTCTCTTCTTCGCTTTCTTCTTCATCTTCTCCATCTTCTTCGTCTTCGCTAATCGCGACTACCTGACCGAGCTCATCTAAACGGTATTTCGGTATGCTGGGTTCGCTATATGGTGGCGCAGATGCCTCTTTGCTCGCGGCATTGGGAATCTCGAAGGTAGGGGAGGCAGCTTCCCCAGGGACGTGGGTCAGGGACTCCCAGGCCGGTTGGGCAGGTGTTTCCATGGAAACATCTGGCAGTTCCGGATATAAAGACGCGGCAGGTTGGGCGAATTGCGAGACCGTAAAATCTCTAGCCTCTATAGGGACTTCATTTGGATGTTCGCCATAATGGTCATCCGTCTCGAGGGGAAGGCCGTGGTGTAGCTTCATTGGCTGATCCGGTGGATATGGCGCCTGGAAGAGTCCGTTCCTTTGGTCTTCTTGATAGTTTCCAAACATGGATGCTGTAGGTGGAGCCTGTGGGCTGTGGGACCTAGGTTGTCCGAAAGAGACACTAGGCCTCAGATTCATGTCAGGCACAGATCCGTTCGAGAATCCCATATCCCGGAATATTGACTCCGGCCATTGTGCGGTGGCTCCATTTGGCTCCATTGCTTGTGAAGCTGGCTGCTCATGCCCAGCCGGGAACGCGTCAAACGGTGGAATCGGTTGTCTGCCTCGGTCCTCTGCAAATTCCATCCGTGTATCTTGTAGAGCTGTAGGTACCGGTGGTCTTGCCTCCCTACCAGCCGCTTGAGATTGTCTAAAAAACTCCTGCATCTCCTCACTGTATTCCAGGCCGTCTGTCTGGCAGCCTTCGTCCGTCATTGTAGGCTTCACCTTTTCGGGGACCGGTTCCTCCACAGCTGGCTCTTCGACCTCGACCTCCTCTTGTGGACTTGGAGAACGGCTGATATATCTCCAATCTCCTGACTTTCGCCCAAACCTCGACCGTTTTCTGCCTTTTCCTGGGATGGAGCCATCATCTTCTATGAATGCCTCAAAATCATTCCCAATAAAGGACCCATATGATAGCCGAGCGCGCTTTATGAATGCCGGTGATGACCACTCATCAGTCTCTTCCGCACGTAGCTGGTCATGGCGTGCTGTTGGAATTGGGCTTCCTGGTGGGGGTGACGGGTTTTCGAGTGGCGTCTCGATCTCAGCAATGCGGTCGGGTTCGGGCTCTTGTGGAGGGTTGTCGAGATCAAGCAGGGCAATATTTCCGGTTTCGCACTTCCGAATCTGAGAAGTCGCCGCGATTAGTACGGGGTTATGCTTGGTGGCAGCATCCATCTTACCTGAAGCACCAACCGCTCTGCAAACTTCAGCTCCCACTCAATGCCCCTACCAGGCGTTTGCGCAGCGCTCGCACTCTCAGGCATCCATTCAGCCCCATTCAACGAGACGACCAACTCATCCCCACTCCCTATCCCCGCATCAAAAACATGCTTCGCGCACGATCCCGCAAACTGGACCTTAACCTGGCCTCTGCTGCGTCGCAAACGAAAGTCCGGTTCGGCCAAAAGCACGGAAAGCGTCTTATTCGAGGAGCTGTAGGGCCATATGAGCGTTACTACTGCTTTAAAGTAGCAGGATTGTAGGTTTGGAAGGGTGGGCTCGAGCTTGGCGATTGCGACCTGCTCAGTCGCGTCGGCGTGCCCGTCCATGGCACCTCAAGGTGTCCGTCGGTACTATATTTCTCGGTGTCGTTTGTACCATCGCTGCTTTACGGAAGCTGTGGCATAGCTTTTGGAGTAGTTTCGAGGGCGTAATTAATTCGTAAGATGGCGTTGTGGCGAGAGAAAAGACCTGATGCCCGCCAGGACCATGGGACATGATGGAGATGTATTGACATGGATGTATTGACGCTAGGCGGTGTGGGCAGTTCTGGCAGAATATGCGTTCTTGGTGTAGTATGGTTGGTGTGTTTCGTATATGACAATGGTTAAACTATACCTTTCAATTCAAACGGGCGTTTGGTCTAGGGGTATGATTTCCCCTTCGCAGATCACGTGGATGTAACAATTCATCTGATTCTAAATTGGGGAAGGTCATGGGTTCAATTCCCATAATGTCCACTAAGAATTACTTTTTGCGAGTTAATCGCTTAATTTACGTCGCCTTTTTTTTTTTTTTTTTTTTTACTTCTACCTCTCTCTTGATGTGTAAGTTATATATAATATTCGATCTCAGAGTGAAGCGATATTGGAACCTTGATGTTTGTTCCTTTAAATAAAAGTGACATACCTCAGATAAGAAACCTATCACGATGAGGCTGAAGCCTTCGATGATATCTTGAATCTACCAAGAACAGATCCTTCTACTTCTTGTTGATGTTGTCTGGCTGTGGTAGTGGTGGTGGTGCAGATAGAGATTGTGGAAAAGTGAGCTAGAAAGGAACCAGGAGGGTGTTGGCAAATAAAACGAGCTTGGAGTACACATCGGAGTGAAATCGTAGTAAAATAGGACAGCCTCGCCGCTAACTAATCATGCAACATAATTTACTACAATACAGTAGCAGGATAAACCAATATCATTAAATCCATCCCACCACGAATCTACCCTCACAACCACACCATCCCCCACGCAACCACCGCCGCCCCAAGCGCCCACGCCACCGCCCACGCCAGCACAATCCCCACCTGCGTCCCAGCACCAGGGAGGACGCCCATGCCCAAACCCGGACCTCCCACCCCAATCCCCGGCACAACAGGCCTGCCATTCTGGTTGGTGCCGTCGTCCTGGAAATCGGTCGCTGACGCACCACTGGTGGTCCGAGCGGGGCTGGAGTTCAGCGCCGTGGTCGCCCGTTCTGGGGTGGTGAAATCGTTCTCCTCGACGGAGCTGCTCATGCTGCTGAGTTGGCTGGCGGCGGTGCGGGAGTTGGCTGCGTAGACGGAGAGGGTCGTTGTCGTTGTTGTGTAGGTGGAGGTGAGGGTTGTTACCTCGATATCGTACCTGTAAGTGTAGAAGTAGTAGTAGTACGAGCTGAGAACTGTTAGAGGCCTGGGACAAGAAGAGGATGGGGAGGGCTCACAAGTAGAGAGTCGTGTAAAAGTATTGGTAAACATCCGTCGTCCTCGGGGCAGCTGTCGCGCTCGTTGGCGTATCCGACGTCCTGGTGATCGTCACGCCGGATTTCACATATGCCGTGCAGGCGGAATTCGTGCAGCATTCGTCCCAGCCGTACTTCTTATTCGCGACGCATATGTTCCCCGGGCTGCACGCCGTCCCGTCAGAGCAACAGATATTGGCTGCGTCTGTGCAGCTGTCGCCGCAGCACTTATCGCCCGCCTTGCAGTTTGTGCCATCGGGACAGCAGACACCACCGGCCGACTTGCACTCACAGGTGTCGCCACAGACATAGGGATAGGGGCAAGTCCCATCAGAGCAACAGTCGTCGCCTGCGGATTTCTTGCAGTAAGCATTGTTTGAGCAACAGCGGTCAGTTGTAGGACAGCAGTACCCATCTGCGAAGTCGTTAGATTTGTAGCCTCATGAGAGGCGACCTGACTTACCCCCGCATGAAGCCTTGTAGGTACCCGTACACGCGCGCCTTTCGAGGGCAACTGGGTTTAGCCACTCGGCGATAAGAGCACGTCCGCCGAGAGCGACTGCGCTGATGGTTGACTGGTTAAACCTATTGCTCTCCTTCATAACTGCCTTTCCTGGCTCAAGGGCATTGTCGCGGGCGGCGATGCCTGCGGAGCTGGCAATACCACGGCCATGGTCTTGAGCAACGACATTGGCGGGTCTTGTATCGCTGTTGCATCTTGCGACTTGCAAGATCAGCAAGGCTGCTGCGCCTATCAGGCGTAAACTACGCATCTTGAGCTTCAATTGAAGCAAAAGTGAGAGGAAATCGAAGCTCAGCCCTTGAAAAGGCGTTGCAATGACAGTCCATATATGGCCTCAGATGCATATATTTCAACTTGAACCGATTTCAGTTCCCCGCGGAAACCTCGGTCTAGATATGGATGCGAGCTCATTTCTCCTCACCAGTTTAGTGAACCTCATAGTTCTTGGCCAAAGGTATCATTGGCGTGGCTGGGATAGCCACCTTGATGGGTCCGGTCTGACTTTAGATAGCATAGTAAAGTTGTGTACGATAAACGCTATCAGATTGATAAATGCCAGAAAATCGGCACATCATACCTCCGGTCTTACATTGTGAGCGAGCTAGAGCCTCATTTGGCAGCTATTTTGTGTGCCTCAAGGCGTTCTCCATGCGCGACCTTGATCCTTGATACGATGTTTCCCCTCTTTAGTGTTGGCATTTGGCAAGGGTGAAGCGAACGTGGTCTTGGCCAGGCGCCCACGGGTATCGTGTCGACGTACCGAAATGAAGTTGTCCGTTCTGTCATTTCTTTGTCAGGGAGGTCAAGTTCACGACCGCACACAGACAAGGCAGAGCATCAGAAATCTTGTAGTATTTGGCACCAGGTCTTTGGTATTGGGAGAGAGAAATGATAAAAGTCGCTCGCTGCAACCCTTTCGCTAGGGCCAAGGAACCGGCTTAATGCTCAGCCCCGAAAATGTCCAAAGCTGACCCCCAATTGTGGGTGCCATGTCATGGGAACGGTGAGCTTCTTGGAGCTATTTCAACCAGAGACCTTGCATGTATGGCGAGTCCATGTAGAGACCGCGTTGTAAGCACGTTTTGTTACCTCGTAAACGGGTCAGGAGCATCGAGATGGGAGCATACTCCGTGCGTAGGACGTCAAAGCGGTGTCGTGGTCCATATGCTATTGCCCTACATGACAACTCACATTGTCAGCCTCTCGCTGCTCAGATATATATGTACATAGAACGTAGCGTCGTGGCCATGGGGATCAATCAGACAATGCCGTTGACCTCATGCTCAACCAGAATCGACAAGCACATCACATGGTGAGCAAGCAAGAGCGGCTGAGCTGTGTGTAGGTTTACCAGAGGTATATCTTTCATCATATGAAGCTATAGCAATATGGCTACTGGGAGAAACACGGTTGGCGAAGACACAGACGTACCACCAATATCGGGCCTCCATCCCCAGAAGACAAGCAGCCTCCGTCCTGTCTGCTTCCAACTTTGCAGCAACTCAACAGCTCAACAAAGCCTGTATATAAAGAAAAGAGTGTCCCATGTTTCAGGTCATCATCGCATCATGGAGCCTCCCGAAGGGGCCCTCGTGACAATGGTTTTAGAAATGGGTTCTAAGGGTCTTCTCGACACACGGAACAAAACTCGCAGCTGAGTAGAGTAAACATGTCGAGCTTTGAATGGTTTTTAACGTTGGTGGTCTTGTTTTGTTAAAGAAAACAAAGGAAAAAGAGAAGCGACGAACAAAAGTTCCGTTTTCTAGCAAAGTCTTGGCGGAACACAGTTTAGTGGAGTCCCGGAGTCCTGCAAGCGATACGGCGCTTGCCATTTCTCGAACCAAACTGGCACTACGCCATGCTAAGTTAAGAGACGAAAGAGGCATATCAAATAAATGCTTTCACAAACACAACTCACACGATTATACGAATATTGATACCGCACATCGAATCTTCAAATACCACATACCGACTACAGCTATTCCTTTCACTGCAAACCCCCCTACGACACTCTCAAATCGACTTGCAACAAAGGTGCAACATTGGAACATCGCCCCATCTTCCTATCCAGCCCTTTCGACTCTCTGTGACGCCTTTGGATCCCAGAACCCAAAGCTCGATATACCACCAATTTGTCCCCCAGCCGTCCCCCATCGGTACTAATGGATAATTTATGGACTCGCCGGACCAAGTGAGCCTCTCTGTCGTGGTGAGTCGTGGTTACAGCCGCTAATGTGCGTCAAACAGTAGCAAGCTTTCTCTTTCAACACCAGCAGCCCCTCCCGCCACCACAGCGAGCCACAACGATCACCCAACCCGCAACTACACTCCGGGGAAGAGGTTTGGCGGAGATACCTCGTCTCATGGGAAGTCGAATCCCTTCAACGCCGTCCCGCTGGCATCGCCTGCCGTTTCGCCGCCAACTGCGGGCGCATCCAGCGCCTTCGGTTTAGGCTCTGGCGCATTTGCCTCCTTTGGCGCATCCGCAAAGACGCCAAAAACACCAGGCAGCGCTTTAGATTTTGGAAATGCCGTGAGCGGGACACCGACGCCTTCTGGTGAGAAGGGGCCGGCAGAACCTGGCCTCACGCGATCAGGTCAGAACGCCTCTAGTGCATCGCTGACCGAGGCGAAACACCCCCAAGCTTCGGCGCATACTCTGAAGCATGGCTGGGTGTTTTGGTTTCGCCCACCGGTTCAAAAATCGAATGGCTACCTGGAGTATGAGAAAACTCTGCATGCCATGGCAGCGTTCGACACTGTCGAAGACTTTTTCGCGATTTACAAACACCTCAAGCGCCCCTCTACTTTGCCACTGGTCTCCGACTACCACATATTCAAGAACGGCATCAGGCCGGTGTGGGAGGATGAAGAGAACAAGAAGGGTGGGAAGTGGATTGTGCGACTGAAGAAGGGTGTGGCGGATCGATACTGGGAGGATTTACTATTTGCCATCATTGGCGACCAGTTTGGTGAAGCCAGTGAGGAAGTGTGCGGAGCCGTCTTGAGCGTCAGAAATGGCGAAGATATTCTCAGTATCTGGACTCGTAATGACGGCGGCCGCGTCCTCAAAGTCAGGTATGTTGTCGCACTCTCGACTCTTTGTTGTGGCCCCACTCTAACAACTTGCAGGGAGACTATGAAGCGTGTCCTTGCCTTCCCTCCAGAGACGAAGGTGGAGTGGAAGTCGCACGACTCCAGCATCGCCCAGCGGACTGCGATCGATGACGCCCGAAAGGATAAGAGCAACAACCAGCACTCGTCCGATAGGCGAAACGGCGCGAAGGACGATGAGAGGGCGGAGCGAAAGCAAGCCTCATGATTTATGCAAGAGTATCAATACCGGGACATGATGATAAAGGCTTGAGTAATCTTGTTTGTACAATACTGCACTGCATCTATGGAAAGCGAGGATAGGCGGGGGGTTTTGGATCAGAGCAAGGCGGGGTTGGAGCTTCAGTTCTTGCACTTCGACCCAAGCTTTTGAATTTTTTGGTAATGGGACTGTATTATGTATCAAAGATCTCGATGACGGCACGAAGGTGCCGCCGCTGCTGGTCTTGACAGCGTTTGGATTACAGATATGACACTGAGTAGGTATCAGCGTGTAATAGTCGACCACGTCACGGTCTCTGGCACGCTCAGACAGAGGCTGCTCTTGCGGTCGTGGTCAGTTAGGTAGCTTGCAATGCAATTCATGAAACTGATCTGCTGGTCTTCAATTGTCGGGCACATGGTTCTATCGTAGCCTTGTATCCGTCACGGAGGAGCAAGTCTCGCATGTTCTTTGGCATGAGGGTTTTCGTCCCCAACCACTCACCACTGACCACCCAAAGTTCACGAGCATTCTATTTTCCTCTATTCTACTCTTCAGAGTCTTTCATGAACCTCATCAATACACTTCACATGCAACAGCGGTCCTCAGCAATGAGCAATGGACGTGATGTCCAGCAGAAGTCCTGGTCCAAAACGAAGCCACCGAAATCTACTATGCAGCTCATCGACCATGTCATCCATCGGTCCTACTATCAATGCCGTCCAGATACTATCCTCGCCTCCGAACAAGAGAAACTGCGATGTGGTGAGGCTTGAGCTGGTCAATAGATGCACGCCCAAGACAAGGCTGATACTTTTTGGAGATCTCGGCAACTCCCGCACTGATAACGAATGAGCGCTAATACTTTGTGGTGGCAGAACGGTGACGATGCAACTGTGACTGAGAAGCGCGTAAAGATTGGCTCGGGGCAGTCAATGAAGGAGAGCGACAGCTGCAGTGAGGTTGACTTGGTATTGTCCGAAAGGCAAGTGCTACCGCCGAACGCAGACGCCGACGTGGGGGAGCCGTCAGAAAAGATCAAACAATCTGGACGTTACATGAATGGGGATCTAGCAACATTCCCCAAAACCCGGGCACCCTTTAGTTTGTATGAGCAACTGCTCTTCCTGTTGGACTATACAGCTTCTAATAATTCTCAGATTTAATGCCATTAATACGCCCAGTGCAGCTGAACCCGATTTTGGGTATATTGTATTCCATTCCTCTAACAGAACCCCTCTAATCAGACCCTTGACAGAGTTCCGGATGAACACTCAGTTCCCGTTATAGTTCCACGGCCAGCGCGAGATATGGTAAGTTCTTTTCAGGCCATGGCAACTGGCTTCTAACAGACCTAGGTTAAACCAGGCGGACCGGGCAGGCCGTTCTCTACGTACAGGAACGGCAACAAGACTGTCGGAAGCGGGCCAGACAGACCACAACAGCGAAGCTCCCCGAAGGCATTTAATTTGTTTCCAGATCGCCCCCGCCCACCATCAGTCGACCGCGACATTGAACAGGCAGCCAAGAGGCGGAAGATCATGGATGTGTCTGGGAGCCCCGACGAAAGCGCTGACGACATATTATACGAGCGAACAAGGAACACAACGGCGAGCTCTCGCCCAACAAAGACAATCGCGAGTGGTATCCCTCCGCTGGAAAGGAAACATCCGGGGCGGGGGTTTGCTGTCGACGAATTTAGGGGGGTCGAGGACACGGTGAGTGGCAGCCGACGGCGGCGACGCCCGGACGGTCAACGTTCTTCGACCCAGTCTTCTCCTGAAGCGACGATTATGGACGGCGATGAAATTCAATACTCAGAGCTTGAATTTGCTAAGCCACCGGAGCCATATAGAGGGACTGCAAAACTTTTTCCTTCAAGGGCAGAAAAGGAAAGGTATATAAGGAACTCCGAGCAAAGGCGGTTGGCCGAACCAAGGTCTGGACATTTTATTGAACCCTCCACGAAGTCGAACATTTCAGTTTCAAAGAGGGAAGCCCCGATCATCCTGGATAGGGAAAAAGATTCTAGGCAAACTCGTGTCCGAAACCTAAGGATTCATGATGGGGGCCCTCGGAATAGTGTCGAGAGCATCTCCGATGATGAGCTATCCATGGGCAAATCAGGGGCAGACTTGAAGAAGACAACTACCAGGACTGTCATGAGCCAGTTCTCGGGAAGCCCAACATCTGGCAGTATGAGTAGAGCCGGAGATATTCGGTCAAGTCTCCCGCGGCAGAACCAGCGGAAAACACTCGGCAGGGCTGGAAAGCCAAGTTCAGGAGAGCGCCCAAGGTTTCTCGTGACGTATATGAGATCTGCACCAGAAATAATTACTCCCGTTAAAGGAGAGGAGCCATGGTATTTACAATACAACCCGATGGAGTCGCGAATGGACGTGATGTTGGGGGATTTGAATCTCACAGAGAAACGACAACATCTAAGCTATACCTTCGATCCGACCGCTGTTACAAAAATAACTTATAGCCCCGAAAACTTCAAAGCAGCGCTGTGGGTTACTGAACGTAATACCATGACAGGAAGCCTGCCAAAACTTCTTCTGGAGGTTGATAACGAAGTATTTTACGATTTCGTGACGTTCCTCCAGAGTAAGAGCCAGGCATCGGCTTTCGAGGAGAGCGGGTCAGTTACTCAATCTCCGTATTTCTCAAGGGGCGTCATCCTTACTGACTTTTACTCAAATAGTGACAAACTAGAGCGGACTTTTCTTAATACCGGGAAATCTTATGAGGTATTTCAGCGCCGCAAAGCAGATGATTTGAATCTGCTGAAGCAGAGGAGGAATCAACGGCACCAGGCAAGTGATGCGGGCCTCACTGGCGATGGGAAGAGGCCGGGAAATTTTGACAGCTCTGAAGAACCGCCGAGAAGTAAAAAACTGCACGAGAGGTTGCAAAACGGATATTCCGACAATGAAACTTCTAAACCTGACGGTAACTCTATCGAAACTAAACGAAGCATAGAACGAAGTAGAGAATTAGGAGACGAGACCCAATCGCGTCAGTTTGGGCGAAATGGAAACGATAGCGACAATCGCCCAACAACTCGTTCAACCAGAGGCCAAAATAGGGAAATCCGTATAAGTTCACCTTCCCCAGTACGCTATACCAATATACATCGGGATTGGCAAACATACTGGGCTGGCGGCGATGAGCCACTCATATTCCCACTTGGAGGCATGAACAAAGCCCAAGTCGATAAGCGCGACATAGAGCGGCTCGACGAGGGCGAGTATTTGAACGATAACCTCATTACTTTCTACCTGCGGTATCTCCAAGAGAAGACTGAGAAAGAGCGGCCGGATGTCTTCAAGCGGGTCTTTTTCATGAATACGTTTTTCTACCCGCGACTTATACAGGGTAAGGGCCGCAAGAACATCGATTACGACGCTGTCAAGAGGTGGACTTCAAAGGTTAACATATTTGGCTACGATTATGTTGTTGTGCCAGTCAATGAGAACAATCATTGGTACGTTGCAATCATTTGCAATCTGCGAAAACTACTCCTATCTCCAGAAGAGAAAATATCAAAGGGGGACGAGCAGGTCCATGAGAAAGAGGTCGTGGATTTGGGTGACGCGGGTAATACTACAAGCCCCGCTCAGCTTACCTCCGAACACAAGGAGGGATCTGTGCCTCCTGAGATGGCACGCAAGGTCAGCAGACTTTCAATCGATGATAGGGTCAGTCCAGAGCAGCCCAAGGGAGCGAACCACATCGATGTCGAACGCATAAATCCAGGCACGCCAAGCCATATATCGACAGCGGACGACGACACGGATCGTCCCCAGAAAGCGACATCAAGCGCATCTAAGGGCCGAAAAGGGAAGAGGAAATCCATCCCACCCGTTCGCAAATACAACACCGAAGAGCCGCGCATCATAACACTGGATTCGTTCGGAGTGTCGCACTCTCCCACCTGCTCGAACCTCCGCGACTTCCTCATCGCCGAGGCGAAGGAGAAGCTCGGTGTCGAGATCACCCTCGCGCAGCCCAGCATCGGTATGACAGCCAAGAATATTCCACAGCAGGACAACTTCTGTGACTGCGGGCTGTTTCTACTAGGGTATGTTGAGGGCTTCCTCGATCACCCGGATGAGACTATCCATAGCATCATGCAAGGGAGGACGGATATGGCGAGTAGTTTTCCGAAGATGAACGCGCCGGACATGCGGAATGCAATGAGACAGCTCATCTTTAAGTTGCGAAGTGAGCAGACAGCAACGGAACACGCAGCTAAGATCGCCAAGATAGCTGCCAAGAAAGCTGGGAAGGCAAAGGAGCAGCCGGCTGGCGAGTCTAAAAGCGTTTCTTCGGCTTCGATGTCGCCGAAACCACCTGCGCCGCCGAAACTGGAGGCCAAAGCGGTCGAGGAACTTGCCTCTGCGATCGTGACTAAGGTGGTGCCAAAGCCGTCTGAGGAGGTGGTAGTCGAAGAGGAACAGCCTAATAAGGAGTCCCCACCAACGTCTGATGAGGCTGCAACAGTAGATTCCTTCATCGACATCCTTGCTGGCTACGAAGCCGACACAGAAAAAGACGAGAAAGCCACCGAACCCTCACCTCCCATCACTGCCCCTCCGATCGAAGAGCTGCCCGGAACCCCCTGCAGCGCGACCAGGGACGAGGCATCAAGTCCCAAGACAAGCTCCACAAAGAGCAAGTTTTTCAACGTGAAAACCAAAGGAATGCAGCCTAAATTCCCCTCCAAAGATCGGAATCGTCAACGGAAGGACGCGGGTGAGGTGTCTGTTGAGGTACCGCCGTCGACGCCGCCGCCGCGGCAGCCACAGCAGCAGAAGCGCTCTTCGCCTCGGAATCACATTGACATCCCGTCGGAGTCGAGTGAGGACTCTCTCCGAATTAATATGTCGCCGAGTATTCTGGGACGCAAGGCTGCGCCTAAACACAAGGATGAGATTCCGGACTCGCAGGGCGATGATGCTAAGCAAGGTGGTGGGCGGGGTGTGGATAAAGGCAAAGTGGTTGAAGACCTGACGGAGACGCCTAGGATGAGGGCAGGCGAGGCGGCTCTGAAGAGGCAGAAAGATATGGTGGGGGTGCAGAAGAAAAAGTCGGGCGCTGGGGGGGTGTTTGGTAGCCCGAGGGAGAAGGGGAGGAAGAAGGACCCGGTGGTGGTTGATGATGAGGAATAGGATGGGCAAACTCCGAGGGAGAAGGGAGGAAGAAGGAAGAAGGAAGAAGGCACCCAGTGGCCAACCTGGTTGATGAGGAATAGGACGGGCAAGGGGGAGGGCGGGGGTGGTTTTTGATATCGATGAACATAGCCATGGCGTTTTTTTTGTCTACACGGGGGATACGGGGCATTGGCTGGGCGCAGTTGGCATAGCATTTTGACCGAGGGGTGGGCGTTTTTTTAGGGAGAGCGATATGGGTGGAGATATGGGAGGATGTTAGGGTAGTAATGAAGTGTTGCTATTGCCAATGGCATCATCTATTCTTTGATTGAGTCAGATGAGTGCGACAGAAGCTTCTTTTGTGGAGGTCGGCGTCAGCCGTCGTCGCCGAGGTTTTTCGTCACTTTTATTTCTCATCGCTGCCCTATTCTCACCCTGTGCCGCGGGTATTGCTTCCAAGGAATTGTGATGCTTAATGCATAGCCGCCTTCATTTATTGTTGTGGTGTTTTATTTTTATTTTTATTTTTATTTTTATTTTTATTTTTATTTTTATTTTTATTTTTATTTTTATTTTTATTTTTATTTTTATTTTTATTTTTATTTTTATTTTTATTTTTATTTTTATTTTTATTTTGTTTTGTTTTCAGTGATTGTATTCCCATGACCGCCTGTGACTGTGCCGTGATTGTACTGTACCACCTCTTTCTTACTCCTCCAGAAACCACTTACTCTCTGTAAATATACAAATATCCTCATCTCCAATTCATGCCTTCCTTAAACTATCCCATTATGCACTCCTCAAACCTCCATTACGTGTGTTCGTTGCCCTAGCTCTCCCGCTCCTAGACGGCTTGTTCAGTTGTGCTTGTCTGCTTGTCTCCACGACTCAACACCAGCCCAACCCCTCGTGCACCCTCAAAGCCCCCCTCACTTCTCACCATCACCCTCTCAATCTCAATCTCACTCTGACTTCTTGATCCTTCACCAACTGCAGTGTCCATTCCTCACCCGCGCGCGCTTCAATCTGCGAAAAAAAAACAGTCCAATTCACACAATCGTCATCACACAGACACCGTGCGTGGCAACATCCCCCAGCGCGCGCATCATCCTCACCACCCAGCGGCCACCGCGCCCGCCCACCATCCCCAACGCCCCAGATCCGGCGTACCCACCCGCCTCGCACGCAGCCAAGCAGCCAACACACACACTCCCAACAATGGGCTTCCTCAAGTCGCTCGGCGTGAAGCGCAAAGACAAATCCGCCGCCGCCGCCGCGTCGGCTGCCGCTGCCAATGCAGAGCGGTACGCGCCCTCGCCTTCCAACCCACGGTACACGCTGAGCGGGTATGCGGGGCGGCAGGTGGACTGGACGGTGAAGCTGCCTGTGCCGGTGCTCACGCGCATCTTCAGCTTTGTGTGTCCGCATGCGCAGGATATGAGTTATGAGAGCTGTGAGCGCAGCGCGGAGGAGGATGCGTGTATGTTGTGCGATTTGCGCGATTTGAGTTACTGCGTGAGGGTGTGTAGACGGTGGAGGAAGACGGCTGTGCCGGTACTGTGGGTTTCCCCGCCAGGAGGAAGGTGGAGAGATTGAAGGGAGATGCTGACGGAAATAGATACCAGAGTATTCGCATCGACGCGGTGCACTACTGCGAGCGCGAGGAGATACTCGCAGAGCGACGAAAGCGCCGCTCGTTTTTAAATCGGAATGCCGAGTCCGAAGACACTGCGCGCATGCGCGTGCGTCTGCTGTGCCGAACACTGCGTGACGACACTCTGGGTCTAGGAAGTCTGGTGCTGCTGGTCAAGACGCCGTATATGGCGCGGGAGACATGCAAGGGGGACCTCGCGCGCATCGTGGCCGTTGCGCCAAACCTACGATACGCAGATTTCCCGGATGGCTTCTTCACAGGGGATCAGACGTGCGCGACGCTGAGGCAGGAGGTGGAGCAGCGCTGTCTCGATCTACGGAAGATGTCGTACTCGCACGGGGCGGAGAAGGCGCTCGAAGACGTGGCTGGGGGTTACCTGTGGCATAACCTCGAAGTGCTAGAACTATCAGGTCTAGCCACCGATCCGACAACAGTACGCTTCGCGCTCGGAGCACTGCGAAAACTGCACACCCTCCACGTAAAAGACATGCCCTTCTTCAGCGACGAAATCTTCAAACCCAACCATCAATTCCCTCCCTTCCCCCACCTCTCAACCCTCCACCTCGAAAACACCCCCGCCGTCACAATCTGCGCCATGCAAGCCCTCCTCGCCGACCCCGCCACCGCACACGTCCTCACCAACCTCTCCCTATCCACCACCGCCATCCACCCCTCAGACATCCACCTGATCCTCTCCGGAGCCCCATCCCTGCACCACTTCGCCATCACCGAGCTCGTCTCCACCCCTTTCCCACACACGCACGTTCCCGTTCCCCCGCTCCAATCCCGCTCCCTACGCACTATGCACTACGAAATCACCGCCACGCCGGGGGCTTCCTACACCGCTGGCACCGCGGCGTATTACTCCTACCTCACCACTTCGCTCCTCGCTGCCGGGATGCCAAGCCTCCACAAGCTCTACGTGCGGGACTCGGCGTTCCCAGAATCACTGATTGAATTCGCGCCTCCGCGCCCGCAGTTCGCGGCCGAGAGCCCACCGAACCCGTTTCTCAATAACAATCGCCCCCTCTCCACCGCGTCGTCGGTATACGGATCACCCCCCACCGCGCCGGTAGGGAGCTTCAACCGCACGCTCTCCCCCATGGGCGCGTCGTCCGGTTCCCCGCCGCCTCCGAATCCACAGGCGCGACCGCGGCCACAGCCACGGAACCCAGTCGGCCTATCCCGCGAACTGGAAGTCTACACCAAATCCCTCGACGAGCTAGAGTGGAATTTCGCTCGCGTCGAGCCAGCGCGGCAACCAGGGCGACGAGGTTCCATGACGGCCCTTCGTCCCGTTAGCGCGTACGGTCTCGAAGCAGCGGGGGGGAGGATGAGCGGCAGCTGGGGCGCCGGGGGGGTGAGGAGGAGCGTGGTGGTGGGGAATGGGTTTGGAGGCTTTTTGGCAGTGCCGGTGGATGAGCCGGGGGGGGCGATGAGGAGGGGGAGTGTGGGGGGGAGTGTGACGAGTGGGGGGAGTGTGAGTGATGCGGGGGGGGAGTGGCCGGTTATGGGGAGGGGGAATAAGAGGGAGAGTCATTTTGATATTTGGCGGTAGGTAAAGGGGTGGTGGGGGAGGGAGGTTGGGGGTGTTTGGGGGTGTTTGGGTTTGTTTGGGTTTGTTTGGGGGGGGGCAGACGGGCTCTGCTGCGTGATGGGATACCCATACATGGTTTGTTTTATGTTTTGATTTTGGGCTATTTAATACTTGAAATGGAGATTAAATGAAGATGGAATGCAGAAATTATATGGCAGGTGTAAGTCCATCATTGCTTGCTACTCCGTCGAAATAAATACTTTGTATGGTCGTTTGCATACATACGCACAAAATCCGACGCAAGTAGGTTTCTGCATGGCATCCGCAATAACCTTCCATTAATCACCAAATTCTCAAACGTCACTCCATCAATTCTTTTCTCCTCACTATACCCTTCAAAAATCGACGGATTGGCATTATATAATAACAGGGGGTTTTGGGTCTGCACAGGATCGCCGTACCGATAGCCCCAACCTCATTGCCGCCACCATGCAGAACGCCACGCAGTTTATGTGGTGCAGGGTCAAACCCATCTTCACTGCACTACCTCCAAGATTTGGTATGTTGCATCAAACGGGGATGGGCGGCCGTATAAACGTCGACCCCAGGTCATTAAAGCACTACCAAGAGCGCCTTCCGTCCCAAGCCGGTTCCAGGGGAATATTCGAAGAGGGCGCGTTGTGGCAGTGACTTGAGGGGTTCCTCGTGTGGGTAATAGGAGGCTAGTCTAGATCGTCAACGAACTCCTGCGCATGCGTATGGGGTCTAATATAGCGAGAGTGAACTTCTGGCGAGAGTGAACTTCCAGCCATCCACTACCTTGCCTGTCAACCCCACCCTGGACCGATACAAACATCAAATTCCTTCCACTCTCACCTTACTTCCCCTCGTATCCTCCGCACACCCAAGCCGGCAGCTCGAGCTATCTTCCATTTCCGCTACCCAAATCCAAATTCAACGTTCTTGGCTTCATCATCCTGCACCCACTAGCACCACATATTCGCATGGGCCTTTTCCAATCCGTGACTCATATGCCCTCATAGGTTAAATTTCTAGGGTCTGGAGCGCATAACTCGCCGTCAAGGCGGATGGCATCAGGGCGAAGTGATGCCGACTTAGATGACAAAGCTAAGGGTCATATTCCGTATCCCTCTCCTGGGCGAAGTATTGTATTTAGTTAAACATAACTCGTTTAAGAGTAAGGGCATTCCGGTGCTGGACCGTTATTGTGAGGATCGGGTAAGTTGAGTCGAGTCCTGGCGATGGCTTGCCGCAGCAAATGCTAACTTGTGGATGTGGTATGGCGAGGACTGGCAGAAGTATCGCAAGAAGGTGCGATCATCTTTGCTTCCTGGCATTTGAGGGATGGGTGGGGTTGTTGGGGATGCCCCCGTGGTTCTAGGCTTCGTTTAGTGTTAGTGATGGTGGAATAGCTTCGTCGGACGGATAGGACTTGATGTATGCTTGGTCTCGGCGAGAAGGCTGGCGATTTGATGGTGGAACATCTTTCAATGTAAGTTAGTGTAAAATTAAGACGATCTTTCCTCATTAGGCGTAATACTCATTCATGACTGTGATATAACCAGCCAACCTCCAGCGTAACCGCTGATAACCGCTCATGTAGGTCTCACATTCATGCAAGCCACAAAGCTATTGTGGAATCTCTTTCTATTAGATACACAGACGCTACTGAAGCGTGAGACTTCTAGCCGCAATACGCCAGATGTCGTGATGCAGTGCAAACATAACTTGCATGTTGATCAATTAGCCCTCGGGGAAATCTTCTACCCGGACATCCTCGATAAGAACATTTTGGACAAGATTGCTGTCGCCAGGATTGATGGCTATACAACCTTGATGTAGCATCTGCGGTTCACGGTGGTCGAGGGTATCGATGTTCTTGATGACTATCCCATCCATAGTCTCAGGGGAATCGGTGTTCCCATGCGTGCCAATGTTGATTGGATGCGCGACATCAGCCCAGAGCGATGAATTCTGCAAAGTGATATTTGAGGAGTTGCCGTAGTAGTCCCAGCGATGATTGTATATAGCGACGCAGTCGTCTGAGTTCCGCATGAAGATGTTGTCAATCAAGGTGTCGGAGCAAGAGAAGAGATCAATGCCGCCGCCGTTTCCTTTTGAGCTGAAAGCGCGGAAGTTCTCAATTGTGAGTTGATTTGCCTCGCCTGCTGTCACGGCGTAGCCGTTGGGGTTCAGCACCGTGACCTCTGAGACAAGTATTCTTTCTGAGTAGGCAACTGTGATGGCGCCGCCAGGAGTATTGTAGAGTATGCCTCGACCGCGGAGAGTTGCATCATGGACATTCGAAAAGTTCACGCGGGAGGTGAGAACACCACCACCAGCTATGTAGACCTTTTCCCCGCTAGGCACTTGGAGCATACCCCCTGAGACACTGTGCATGCCTGGACCAAAATAAATGACATCCGTATCGTTGGCTGCAGGAACATTGGTCTCGACACTGCCAGCGAACAACTGTAAACAGTCGAAGATCTCGTCGTTGACTTGATTACGAGATTTCGGGATTGGGCGAGGCTAAATTTCAAGGTATTGCCTCTCACTTTAGGGATAATTCCGTATGAGTAGGGGCGTATATCCGCTGAACGTACAGCTGATGGGCTGTATGTAACTTCCACGTCGACTGTGTCACTAAAATCGAAGTAGGCCATCGAAGATTCCTGTATTTGGCCACTCCCTCCCACTCGTGGTGTTGACGAGAGAAAGTTTCGCTAAATAGATATCAAGTGGTACCCATTCGGTCGTTGTGATCGCACCATGACGGAGAATGAAGCTTTGGTAGGCACCTCCTTTGGTCTGGGGTCTACTTTGAGTTGGGCATTGTGTGGATGTGTTGTTGCGAAATTTTGAGCCCAGGTAATAGTGGCAAGCACAATAATACCAGTGATAGAGTTAATGGAAACCATTTGGGAAAATGAACGATGCAAAGTGCAAGAAGTTGCAGTGCATTATTAACGCCAGGTTCGAATAAATATGAGCCTTTTATGCATTGACGAGCTATAACTTTAAGAGCTTCTCGAAGGGAGTCCTTGGCATTGTGAACTTCAAAGAAGCGGCACGAGGACCTTTCTGTGAAAAAATGTCCCGTACTATTTTCCGGACATAGCAACAACACCTGGCCAGCGGAGGCATGCATGACATGAGGTCCGAGATATTCAGTTTACTGGAGAAATCTAATAAGCCCTGGCGGGTTGGGGCATTGGCGTGGAGAAAGCTAGAGACGACGTGGCTAGCAACTCGCACCGGCACATGTTGCGGCATGAACTCTGCTTCTCCACATCCCCGCAAAATCCCCACAAACCCGGCAACCAGTTCCTCGAGGATTGCAAACTGCTTTCGGGCTCTAGATACTTGGAAAACAGAGATTTAGTCATAGGCTGGTCACAAAACAGCCCAGGCACTTGTCCATTATATCTATGTTCCGACCCAACCGTGAGTTGTGCCCGCTCATGAACTTTTTGAAAGATGGGTTCTACTACTTACTCATTGCAGAGGATGGCACCGACGACCTCCATAGATCTACGATCGCAAGATCGCACTCACCAAAGGGGCCCAGGAGGGAGAATAAGTCACGGTTGGGCCGGGCCATATATTGACTGTAGGAAACACATCTGAGATAACTAAACACTAAATTCCATATATCATAATCCGGAGTGTTTTCATCAAAATAGACCTCATTGACCTCCTTAAGACCAACCAATGGAGCATCAAATGGCCACGGATTCCCATTCCCGCTTGCAAACAAAGCAAAGCTAGCCCCTTCAAAAACAAAAAAATCTTTAGGTGCAAAGGCAAGCCAAGACGAAGCTATGTCTGACATCCAAACAACCGGGTCAACACATAATTGAAAGCCCAACGAGTATTTCAATGGTGTAGCACGAATGATGAGAGTGATACCCGTTGGTATAACTGTGCTATTTAAGGTGATCTGACTTGTCTGTATGCCATGATCAGCAATTTCTACGATTGGGTTGAAGGGGTTGGTTGCTCACTGTGGACGTGCCGTTCATTAGTAAGGTACTATAAAAGCACATTCCTGTTTGGTTCAAACAGCCTCGCACCCCTATATCTTGATGTTGGAACTCGCTCAGGGCAATCTCTCCCTCCAAACCGTCGTCATCCTCGGCATCGGCGACGACCTCTTCGACATCCGCTGGCTAAATAGAGACACCGATAGATTGCAGATAACCTAAAGGTGTGGTAGTCGGAAGTAAGGAGGCTGAGAATGTCATATTCAACGACTTCTGCTTTATTTGGCGCTGGAGTCCACGGCCCCTTTGGTGAGTGCGATCTTGCGATCGTAGATCTATGGAGGTCGTCGGTGCCATCCTCTGCAATGAGTAAGTAGTAGAACCCATCTTTCAAAAACGTCTTGGGCCCTTCATCTCTTGCTGAGCTGTTGTGAGGGAGGGTTCCGTTCCATAAGCCAACGTATTCTCCAACACAGTTCCCAGTCTTCAAGCTGACCTCACATTGATAAATACCCCATAGAGGGTTGATATTGTTATTAGGGGCCATAAGGTTCAGGTATGTCTTCCCTGAATTTGGATCATGGAAGAGACTTGGATCAAGTTGGCTTTGAATCGTGTCATCGACGCGAGATAAAATCGGCCGTTAATGTAGCTAAGGTCAGGCGCCCATACACCTGTTACCTTGTAAGCCTTAGGTCAGCAAACGTGTTGTTGGAGATTTACCAGCTCCTGTTGGATTGGAACATCATAGAGCTGAACATCGTCGGGGGTTGTTAACGCGTGAGAGATTACGACCGTTTCTCTGGCCCGGTACACCCTCGGTTGCCTTCAACAGCTGGTTAACCTTAATATCCGAGAGTTGAGTTTACAGCCGATTTTTATCCGCTGAGCAAGGACCGCTGGATCTGGTTCATTTACCCCGCATCCCCGCCTAGGAAATAGTCTCCACTCAAGCTGACCTAATTGCAATTAATTCCTAACTTGTACTTTACCGAACGCTACATAAACGATAGGATGCACATAGATTTCTTGTCTTAAGGTTGAATTAATTTCACAGCGGAGGCACGGGAATAGATGGATGTTGGAGATTCTGGGCATGTGTTGGGTTCGGGCGTTTCCTCTGGCAGGACTGGTTTGGTATATGAATCAGCTCCAACAAGAAACACAAATGCCTCAAGTAACACGATACGTTAGGTGTGACATACCTAGCGTATCGTGCCCAGTGAAGCTCTGACACGGCTTCGTAGGAATATCCCGGATCACGACCAGCCACACCCCTCGCATTCTCCTATTACACAATATTTCGGGCATGAATCTTGGGTTATTGGAAATATCTACCTTAGAGACAAGGCGGGAATGTTTCGAGATCCAGGCCAGGGCTTCTACTACCAATATGGAACAAAACAAGTGGGAGTGCTGGAATGTTGTAGGGGACTTGGGGAAGTGTGTAATATAGGGGTTAATTTTTCTGCATTTCATAGCTTTTTGCCCTTCAAATATTGGACGGGAAGAATGTAGCTGACAAGAGGTTTGAGTAGTTTGAGTAGTTTGAGTAGTTTGAGTAGTTTTTAGCATGTGAGGCATCATATCTGTGGGCTCGGGGTCACGGTGTCGGTGTTGGAGAGGTGAGAATTGGCTTTCAAGATATTCTAGCTAGTTATCCTCATGATCCTCACCCGCAGCTCTAGCGCTTCACCTAACTGGACCGGGCTAAAAGCGCAGGTCGACGTCTCATGAGCGTTTCGTTTTCCCACATGTTCGGCCTGTGCTGACCTACCTCGGCACGGACCCAAAAAAACGACGGAATGCCGATGAAATGCCACATACTCCTCATTTTTATACCCTGGCCAAAATGACAACTTTCCCTTTATATAGTTCGCGGCTGCCTGTCAAAAGTTACACCGCCTACTAACGCGGCGCAAACTATACCTATTGAACATCACCATTTGGAAGTCAGCAAGATGGTCGACTCTTTTTTTGTGAAAATTGCAGTGGCATGTGTGGCTGCATTTTTGTTCGTCCGCCATGTCATCTCCTTGATACAAAGGAGCCGTTTTGCCAAAGCGCGGGGTTGCAAACCACCAGCCAGGCTCCCACAAACCGAACGCATTATTGGCTATAAAGTCTTTTTGGCGATGGCAGCTGATATGAAAGCCCGGACGATGCTCCCAACTTCGCTACGGCTGCATAGGGAGATGGGCAACACCTTTTCTTTAGTACTTCTCAGCCAGCCTGCAATAGCCACTATTGAACCCGAGAATGTTAAGGCGCTTCTAGCCACGCAGTTCCATGACTTCGGTATTGGTAAGAGGCACAGAGGACTGGGAGCTTTGTTGGGCCATGGCATTTTCACCTCTGATGGCACGCATTGGGAACGTTCTCGTGTATGGACCTCTTCGTCATAAAAACTATTTTCTTCCGCTGACGTCTGGGAGGCACTCGTCCGCCCCAGCTTTGCTAGGGTCCATGTAGCTGACCTTGAAACCCTTGAATCGCACATTCAACATTTGATAGCCAAAATGCCTAGAGACGGATCCACCATCGACTTGCAGCCACTGTTCTACCAGCTTACCCTTGACAGCGCCACCGAGTTTCTCATGGGCGAGTCTGTTGATATTCTTCGCAGCCCTCCTGGGTCCGAGCAGCAGCTCTTCGGTGAGGCTTTTGACTTCGCCCAAAAGGAGTTAAATCTCCGTCTAAGACTCGGCCCTTTCGTCTGGTTCTACCGCAACAGAAAGTTTGATACTGCTTGTGTGCGTGTGCACAACTTCATTGACAAGTTTGTTGCGAAGGCGCTTGAGTTCCGCCGACAGAGTCAGGCGAGCGGGAAAACAAACGTTGAGGATGAGAAGCAGAAAGGAAAGTATATCTTCATGAACGAGCTCGCTCTAGCTACAGATGATCCCATCCAGATCCGTTCTGAGATTCTCAATATCCTGCTTGCTGGTAGAGATACCACTGCCGGTCTACTCAGCAATACTTTCCACGTCCTTGCTCGTCGCCCAGACGTCTGGGCCAAGGTAAAACACGAGGTTGATCAGCTGGAAGGGAAGAGACCAGACTATGAAACCTTGCGTAGTATGAGATATCTGAAACATGTCCTGAATGAATGTAAGCTGTCGTACCAAACAACACTAAGTCAACCTATGATCTAGCCTAACCTTTCTCTCAGCTCTCCGTTTATATCCCTCAGTACCTCAGAATATCCGCTATGCCAACAAAGACACAACCCTGCCAGTGGGCGGTGGACCTGATGGCAGCGCTCCAATATTCGTGGCCAAAGGCCAGATTATAGCCTATAATCTATATTCAATGCATCGGCGGAAAGACATTTACGGAGAAGATGCCGATGAGTACAAGCCTGAGCGCTGGGAGAACTTGCGGGTGGGCTGGGGGTACCTACCATTTAACGGCGGGCCCAGAATCTGTGTTGGTCAGCAATTTGCTTTGACGGAAGCAGGCTATACGTTGGTGAGGATGGTGCAGGAATTTGAGAGAATTGAGAGCAGGGATTCGAAGCCATGGCTTGAGAACTTGCATCTTACGTTGGGTTCCGGCAATGGGGTTCATACTTCGTTGTTCCCTCGATCATAAGGGCTATTTACTATTTTAGAAGGCAGATGTAAGATTCTATATATTAGTTTAATGCAGGAGATTGATTAGGGTTAAATTGGTCATGCGTCGAATTCAAATGTGCCACTATCCAAACACCGCTCACCTCCCTCGCTCCCACTCTAGCCACTTATCACCCAGCCTAGAACCCCACTGTCTTAGCCCACAGCGCTCTACCTCATATCTACCTTAGCCGCAACAACGGTCCTCCCTACATCGTGACGCTACTTTAGCTTGACGTCGCTGGGAGGATCCGATCGGCAATCGCACAGGATGAGATTTAAAACGGCCAGATCCACCCGCGGTGTTATGCTTAAGCGCTTATGTGATGGCTAATATACACAGCACCTGACGACCGTCGTATTGATTCGTTGTCCGCTCACGCAGTCATGCCGTTTTGTTCTACCCTTAACTCTCTTATAGTTTTGACGTAGCACCTTTGCACTTCGAGTCTTGTAGTAATGGCTCACAACTGCCGAATTACATGGAAATAAGAGCAATACACCCTTAATATGGTAATTAAGCTAAGGCAGCCAAAGTTTTAGTGCCGATATGAAAAGGATGCGAAAGTGACGCTAAACTAACATGGAGATGCAGTTATCTCACCGGGTGAGATCTATAGAAGCCGAATCTGTTGTGCAATCGATTGTAGCAGGTGCGTTGTGGAAAATAAGATAGCAATGGCCTTGGTTGCTTGTTCTGTTTAGCCCCCAGATGTCGAGGATGATGCGAGACATCTAGATTCGTTGAGAGCTGCATTTTGAGATTCTTGGCAAATCCTCCTCGTATAGGGAGCAGTCAGACTTACACAAAGCAAAGCCTAATAGGGTAGGTAGTAGCTATGAGGAAGATTTGCAGATGCCGGTAATGAAGAGTCCGGTCGATGTGAAAAGTATAAAACTCCCAAGCATTCCTCTTTTCTTATTTCTCATCATTACACTTACGTCAGCTTCTCCAATACAATCTAGAACATCAATCACTTAACTACCCAAATACGCCTTAACAAGCAACCGCAACAATGCAATTCACCAGCATCCTCTTCCTCGCTATCCAAGCTACCGGCGTCCTCTCAGCTTCCTACGCCGGCAACACAGGCGTCGCTCCCGACCTCTCCAACTCCTCCATGCCACCCCCAGGCACAGAATGGGCTCGCTCCTCCGATAAATTCGTACGTAAAATCCGGATTTCCTTAGACATACCTAAATGGCAAATTACTAACTCCCTTCCCTCACAGAATCCCCTCACCGCTCGCGGTTGTGTCTCCACTGCCCCTTTCGGATGTGATCTCGGCAAAGGCCGCTGCTGGAAAGTCTGCCGTGATGGCGGACAATGGTGCTGGACTGCTGGTGGTGATGGATCTGGAGACTGGAACACGTGCTCTGATTGGGGACAATGCAACCAGCAGCAGTCGTGTGGGCGGAACTGCCACAACGCTGCTGAGTGCGGATGCAGCTGCTAGAGTATTCCAGAAAGGGGGGTGAAGGGCTGGATGCATGGTTGGTGCTTGGGGATTATGGCTGAGCTTGTTTGCACGTTGTCACTCCTTATTATTTGATGTGTAGAGGATTCGGTTGTTGCTCTTCATGCTCTTCACGCTCATTATGTATTTTAGTGTCTGCATACTCTAATATAAAAAGTATTTCACTTTTATTACTCCTTCATGTCAAGGAAGTGGCTGAGGAGCAGATGGCACACAAGTTACCGTTAAGCCCGGCGTCCCCCCCGGAATCGCAGTGTACAAGAACGGACCCATCAAGTTCTCCTCCCACGACACATGCACGCCAACGTCAGCAAAGGCAGGTTCCACCGTCTTCATGTGCTCGATCTCCTCCACTGTCTCCGGTGGTATCGGACTCACGAGACCATCGTTACGTTCCCAAGCTTGGGGAAACTCCCTGGTGCCACTGACGCAAGGTATATCAAATCTTCAGCTCTTGTACACATAAGTAAAATGCACCCTTCGAATCGAAGGTGGCAGCAGCATCTCCAGTCATTCTGTGCCGACAGAACTGTCGGACTTGGGATAGAGCAGTGCCTGGTCAATATATTTGACGAGCGGCACACATACGCGCCAGCGCCACCTTTGCGATGCGGGCCTCGGTGGTATTCGAGTTGGGGAATACTCCTGGATTTTTGCAGTGAGAACATAGGTAAGAACATATTTGGAAGATTATTTCGTTTGGCAGTGGGATCGATTCCATATTGGGAGTGTACGGCGGAACGGACATGGGTAGAGGCCGTTGGCTCTTCTTAAAGAGGGTAATAGTCAAAAGGCTTGTTAGCTCCGCTGTGCGTCCGATTTCTAAGTGAGTCATCACCTACATAAAAATATATAATAATGGGCAGGAGCTTCTGGCTTTGATGGGCGGATACGCATAATTGCTATCCGGCGGTTAAAGTCCAAAGGTTAAATAAACGTCAAGGGTGCAGGGTACAGATGTGGTATTTGTGGGAAGTGGCGTGGGAGGGGGGGTTAGTATGTCTGCACACGGATCAATATCCCATGCTCAGCCCAAGACAAATAAGACGGAAATGAAGGCCATACCATAGTTCAATCCCTCATCTATATTTTCAGCTACTCCGTCACAAACAACTACCTCGCTCGTATCATCGGTGGTATCTACAATACACAAAAATCCTCGTCTCATCCTCATCCACACCAAAATATTCATGGACCATCTCACGCCTTCGCGCCCTTCTCCTCCACATCTTTCCCGTCCTTCATCCCCGACTCGGTCTCTCCTTCCACTTCCGCAGCTTCCTCGCTCTCCACACCAGGGCTTTCGATAATAAGGGTCTCGCTCTCCACCGCGTCGTTCGCTACAGCTACATCCCCATTCACCACCTCATTTACAACTTCGTCAGGTGAAATCGGTAATGGCGGGTTAGGCGGGGATCCACTGATCTCCACTACTGGTGTAGGCGGCAGAGGCGCTTCGGGGCTCGTTGCGGCCGCAGCCTCGGTGACCGCAGCGGCTGTAGTGGCAGCAGACACTTCAGCAACAGGAAGCGTCCTATTCGTCGCCGTGGTGAGAATAGACTCTCCCAAATCGCCAGCGCCATCAAGCTTGCTGATTTTAGCGGCGAAGTGCTGAGCATCACGGAGCATTCTGGATGACTGTTAGTAAAATCCGCACACAATAAAAGCATCGGGGCAACAAACCTCTCCTTCCCCCTCTCCGTCGTCACCGGAGCCTCTCGGAACGCCTTCCCCAGCTGCTCCCTATAACTCCCAAACACCGGCTCCATAATCCCCAACACCGTCTCCTCAGGCATATGCTTACTCAGCACCCTATGCAACGTTCCCGTCTCCTTGGTAAGTGTATCCATGTACGCGCTCACTGCCTTGTCCCCTGCGGAATCATCGTCCCATACAATTGCCCGCATGGCGCGCAGATGCAGCGTCGCGCGCCCTGCCATAATCTCAACCAGCTTCTCTGAGATGCTCGCCTGGTGCTCCTGCAGCACGTGGCGCACCTTGTCGAACTCGCCCATTAGACCCGCAGCCGATGCGCCGGCGCCGAGGTGCCGACGCACAAATTCGCGGAGGTGCGGAATCAGCGTTGCGACGAAGCCAAGGGCGCGTGAGGCGAGCGCGAGGTGCTTGGTTGTGATATTTTTGAGGCCGACGATCTTAGTGGCGCCGGCGCCGAGGATGAGCTGCGTGCAGCGGCTGTTAAAGAGTTGGATGTAGGCGAGGAGGAGGGGGGAGACATCCGAGGTGAGAGAGGGGATACCGGTGATGAGCTCGAGGTAGGGGGAGAGGCCGCGGAGGCAGATGATGGCGGACGCGGGGAGGAGGAAGGTCTCTGCCTCGATGGTTGCGGGGCGGATTTTCTCGCGCGCTGAGGCGGTTTGGGAGGGGTCGGCGGGGGTGGGGGCGCCGTCGGGGAGGGTGGAGTCGTTGGATTCGTCGTAGGGGAGCCAGACTTTGCTGCCGATGCTCCAGGCGGCGGGGTCGCGATCGCTGCCTTCGAGGATGCGTTCTAGGTAGACGCCGTCGCTCTCGGTGAAGTCTTTTGCGGCCCAGAGGTCGGCGTCCATTCCTTGAGCTAGGGCTTGCTGCTGCGAGTTGCTGAGGAGTTGTATGAAGTCTTTGATCTGATTGTTCACGACATTCTTCAGAACTGTTCCGCTCCTGCCTGATACAGCTTCGCATTCGTTGGCAAAGAGAAGGTTGAGCGTGAAGTATCGCAGGAATCGTGTCGGCTGTTGGCGGACGCTTTGCTCCGTGCGGACTCTGAGTACCTTGACGATCTGGTTCTGTGCAATATCCACGACTTGGCCAAGAAGATTCGACATGTCGAGGGCTTGATGTAACTCCTCCTGTATATGTCTCCTTTCCTCGGTCGCCTTGCCACCGCTAACACGGTCTTCAATTGACCCAAGATTTGGTGTCCGAGGGGGTGACCTGGGTCCTCCTATTGAAGGCGACCCTGGAGGAGGCGAACCCGGTGATGATCCATCCAATGTACTTGTTACATCAAGTAGCACCTTCACTTGAGTTCCCACTCTCCTCAGGGTTTCTCCGACACCAATATAAATCTTCACCAGAGTCTCTTCAGCTGACTCGGGATCTAAATTCCGTAAATTGCGAGCCAGGATAGCAGATCTGTCTTGTTGGCTGCGTGGTTTGTTTCCCCCCACAGTAGACATTGACATCACGGAATCCGTATCATCGTCATTGGAGCTAGGTAATGGCCGTTTGATGATCGATTTTATCTCGTGCAAGACAGCATCGCGATATGCTGTCGTAGCCGAAGATGTGTGGTTAGCCCGATAGAGACCATTGATATTTGATAACAGATCGGCTCTGAACTCGTTGTTCGTCGTCAAGTACGAAGGAAACGCGGACTTCTCGCGATTATGCCCGCCCCGCGTCCTTTGTGAAGCATTGCTCCACCGTTGTAGGGTATCGTTGACCGGCGTGGATTCAATGTGTTGTCTGATGTCGCTAAGCATTGATTTGATAAATCTCGATTCAAATGTCTTACCAATTCGAAACCGCAGAACAGTGAGATCATTGTCGACTCCTTGTAAAGCTGTTGCCCCTGAAAGGTCGCGCAGTTGGTCCTGCACGGGAACATCCAGCACTTTGGCATCTCCTTGCAGCTGCTCGCCATGGATAAGCCTCTCAAGGGCATCTATCGTGTCAAGTGCTCGCTCCACCTCATCACTTTCGACGTAGGATTCACAAAGGCCTAGGCCAGCTACGACGGACTTTAGCTGCTGAACGGCATCTGCCAGCTGTTTGAGATTCTCTCGTCGACGTCTTTGCTTGACAATCTCCATGCCTCCCAATGCCATCTCCTTGTCAAGTTCGTCCAACTCGTCACGCAGCTGCTTTATTCTGGCGACGGAATCTGCAGCTTCAGAGTGTAGCTCACGCAACGAGCCGAGAGCAGCAAAAAAGGAATAGGATGCAGTCGAGATTGCGGAAATCAAGTGCACCTCGATTGTGTCCATATACCACGATAGTTTCTCTTGTAATATTGCGTTTGTCGCCAGAGCCTTTCTGGGGCCGGCTACATTTCCGTTTGACTGTTTTCGCTCTTCTGGCGCCCCTGGAGCTGGTCGGACGACTTCCGACCGTTCGCTGACGACGTCAAAAATTCGAGGATTCTCAAGACGAAAGTCATCGTCGAAATAAACGGTGGGTATTGTCGCGAGGGGCGCAGGACCTTGGGCGGCTCGTTTCCCAGGTCCAGCACTTGAACGTCTTCTGGGTGATTGCGAATCATTGGGTGTCAACGATGACAATGACGCCAAGGACGACTGCCTCGATATATCTGGCTCTCCTTTATCGTTTGATTCCAGTAAATCCGCAAACTCGTCACTCTTATTACCCCCCCGTCGTATTATCCGCAATCCCTCCTCGTCTTCGCTATCCTTCGCCCGCTGTAGGGAGTCCGAGAGTGCGCTAATCTGCGCCAGATACGGCTTGAATTCCGCCGGATCAACATGGGGGATATTTGTGAGCGTTACTGGCGGGATATCTCGAGCGGTCGGTGGTTTATGCGCACTGGACACTGGAGCTGAAGTATGGGCGATTAGGCCTGTTCTCACAATTGGCGGCTGCAGGAGTGTCGATATAGCTGAAGAATTGTTAGCTGCTGTAACAAGCTCGTCACACAGCGGTCAGCCCACCATTCTGTCCTGCTTCTCTCACTGTTTCCGACCACGGTCCTGACGAGGAGTCCAGGGCCCCTCCTATTGACGTTACGGAGCTCGCCGTCGACAGGCGCCGGGAGTTGTAGCGGGTGGTAGAGCTATTTCTAGAGGGAGGATCGTATCGCGGGAACGCATATTCGCTCTGGCTTTGCCCATGAGATAGCGGGGACGTGGAACTCCCGGGGGACTTTCGAGGGTTTGAGGCGGACATGGCGTTGAGTTTGAGGCCACCGAGGCCGCGCAAGAGCTGCTACTCTCCGGTATTGTTGACATCCAGCGATCCGTCACCGAGGCGCCATACCTAGCAATTGGATATTGAAGAATTAAGAATTGTGCACTTCGAATATAGGCGTAGAGTGCGACACGAAGTTGTATAGGCTGTACAATGGGCTCTATTATATTTCCTGGTAACTTATGGACTTTGTCCCTTTGTCTTGCTCTATTGACGGACCTGGGTCACCGTAGCGCATTTTAGCCGCACAGCCTCATCTGAAGAACTGCCTTGACAAGTCACTCCTGCAGCCACTTTACGCGACAAATCGCGTCGCGTCAAGACTCTAAATCCTCCCTTTCAAAAGACGCGTTCCCCCTTGTGCCACCCCCGCCATCTCCTCCAACATCAACGGTTTAACGCTTCAACTTTACGACCTTTGCGCCAGGGCCAACGAGGACTATACTGTTGATTTCATACTTTCATAAGGCCCGCAATATGGATCGCCAATCGGTATATACGACGAGCGTGTACCAGCCAAACTATGGCGAAGAAGACGGTGAAGTTCGCGGGCAGATCCTGTTGAAACTGCAAAAATTCATCCTGGAGTTCCAACTAGGAACCGCATTTATTTACAGGTAAGAAGCTCACTAGGATAGCTCATATTCATGTTCTAACCTTGCGCAGAGACCAACTTCGCGCAAATGTGATGAAGAAACAATACTTCTGTGACGTCGATATCGGCCATTTGATCTCATTCAACGAAGAGCTCGCACACAAGCTGGTCACTGAGCCCGCAGAGATTATTCCTCTGGTATTATTCCCTCCCTATCTCACATAGTGTTTGCAATACTGACTGGCTCCCAGTTTGAAGCAGCCCTCAAAAACTGCACGCACCGGAGTATATACGCAGCCCAAAAGAAAATTGACCTTCCCGAACATCAACTTCTCATTCACTCTAACGCCGCGGAGCTCTCGATCCGTGATCTTAACGCCGTAAAGATATCTCAGCTCGTGAGGGTTCCTGGCATTGTCATCGGTGCCTCGATACTCTCATCAAAGTCGACAGTGGTCCATGTCCAATGCAAGAATTGCTCGCACACACAAACCATATCAGTTGGAGGTGGATTTGCAGGTGTCACATTGCCTAGGAATTGTGGAAGAAGTCGGGATGGAGTGTCTGACAACTGTCCTATGGACCCATATTTTATCGTCCACGAGAAATGCCAATTCGTGGACCAACAGATCCTCAAGCTCCAGGAAGCTCCTGACCAAGTTCCGGTGGGAGAGCTTCCTCGACATGTTCTCATCTCAGCCGATCGTTATCTTACAAACCGCGTTGTTCCTGGGTCAAGATGCACAATAACGGGCATCAGCTCTATTTTTCAATCAAAGGCTTCCAAGGCCGCTACAACCACATCAGCTGTAGCAATTAGAACACCTTACTTAAGAGCAGTTGGAATCGACAGCGACGTCGACCAAACAGCCAAAGGAAATTCCACCCTGACAGAAGAGGAAGAGGCTGAGCTCCTCGAGATGAGCCGCATGCCCGACCTCTACAACGTCTTAGCGGACTGCATTGCACCTTCAATTTACGGAAACAGAGATATTAAGAAGGCGATTGCATGTCTCCTTTTTGGCGGCTCTAAGAAAATTCTGCCGGATGGAATGAAACTTCGTGGCGACATCAACGTTCTGCTTCTAGGAGACCCGGGAACGGCCAAATCCCAGCTGCTAAAGTTCGTCGAGAAGGTTGCCCCAGTCGCCATCTACACATCCGGTAAAGGTTCTTCCGCCGCTGGTCTCACGGCGTCTGTCCAGCGCGACCACTCCACCCGTGAATTCTACCTCGAAGGCGGAGCCATGGTTCTCGCCGACGGAGGCGTCGTGTGCATCGATGAGTTCGACAAGATGCGCGACGAGGACCGAGTCGCAATCCACGAAGCCATGGAGCAGCAAACCATCTCCATCGCCAAAGCCGGCATCACCACCATCCTCAACGCCAGGACTTCCGTGCTAGCAGCCGCCAACCCAATTTTCGGCCGCTACGACGACCTCAAGAGCCCCGGCGAGAACATCGACTTCCAAACCACCATCCTCTCGCGTTTCGACATGATCTTCATTGTGCGCGACGAGCACGAGCGCGGCCGTGACGAACGCATCGCCAAGCATGTCATGGGGATCCACATGGGCGGCCGCGGCGCCGAAGACCAGGTGGAGTCCGTGATCCCCGTCGACAAGATGAAGCGGTACATCAACTACTGCAAGACGCGGTGCGCGCCGCGCCTCAGTCCCGAGGCGGCTGAGAAGCTATCTAGCCACTTCGTGCAGCTCCGCAAGCAGGTCCACGCCGGCGAGCTGGAGAGCAACCAGCGCAGCTCCATCCCCATCACGGTCCGTCAGCTGGAGGCTATCATTCGTATTTCCGAGGGGCTGGCGAAGATGACGCTCTCGCCTGTGGCGACTACGGAGCATGTTTCTGAGGCGATCAGGCTGTTCTTGGCGTCGACGATGGATGCGGTTAACCAGGGGAAGAGCCAGGGATCGAAGGAGCTGAATGAGGAGGTCTTGAAGCTGGATGTTGAGCTCAAGAGGCGTCTGCCTCTTGGGTGGAGTACCAGTTTGGCGACGCTGAAGAGGGAGTTTGTCGAGCGGAAGGGGTACACGGAGGCGGGGCTTAATAGGGCTCTGTTGGTGCTGCAGCGGAGGGAGAAGGTACAATTCCGGAACCAGGGGTCGCAGGTTTTCAGGAGTGCGGTTTAAATTGGCGGGCATGTGGGGATTGTAGAGGATGTGTGATGATAGTATGTACATGGATGGTATTGATGGTTTTCGGGGTGATGGATGGTGCATGGGAAGGATAGACGAGGACAAATGGGCTATGATAATGCCACAAGGGGTTGGGGCAGGAAGGCGTCATGGAGGGATATGCTGGTTATATACGGCGTTCACAATCGTGAGGAATAATAAGATGAGATACCAGTTATCACCGGGTCTTGATTAAAGACTGCCAAAACTTTTAACATACATAGTCTCCGGCACTGTTCGCGATACAAGCCCCCTTTATTCCCTCAGCAAATATATAAGAGGCAAAGCACAACTGTTGGCATGAGGGTAAAGGCTACGTCTCCCTGTAACGACTGGAGCAAAGGGATGGATCTCTTGGTTATTACTTGAGTACAGAGATCCGCCGCAATGCTATCACAGGCGCCTGGTGCCAATCCTCAGTCTGTCACCGATTATGATTCTCATCTGTATGAATTCTCACCAGTCATGGATTCTTGTCACCGCTCATCCTTCATCAGCGCAACATATGCTGTCATCGTAAATATCCCAGTGAACCACGTTCAAAAAGCATACTCTACAGCGTCGTCAGATGAGTACATAATAATCGCTGTGTAGGTCTTCCCTAGACCCATTCCATCCCCCACAAGGATTTCCTAGAAGAAGCCTTTCACATAACCCCTAACACTAGACAAATAAAATAAAACGCACCTCAGTCCAACTTCCACTCTTGGAAGTGAATGAGTCTTCATACGGCGCAATTTTGCCATCAATGATAGTAGTAGGCTTCAGCTCGTCAATCTTTCCCTCTTCATATAGCTTGATGACAGACCTGATGTTCTGGTGCTGCCGTTCTGGCTGGTAGTTGGGGTTGTTTGGGTCGAGGTAGCATTGGAGTGCTTTGGTGCGTGCTTAGACGTCGAGGACGTAGGGGATTGGGATTGCGGGGGAGAATGAGGGTTTATCTGCCATGGTGGTGATGTTGTTATTTTGTGCGGCGGGTGGGGTGGTGTAGTGTGGTGTGATTTGGTTTGGTTTTGCTGTGTTGTTGTTATTTGGTATTTTTCTAAAAATCGCCTGATTATATTGCAATATCTCCAAGAATAGTGTCAGTACCACCACTTTGTAATCAAGATCAAGAATACGAGAGCAGATTATTTACATATAAATACAGCTGGGACGGCCAACTTTGGATATCAACGTTAAATCCCTCAGAATATCCTCCCGTCTTTATCTTCCATGATATCCTTAGAGAGGACGCAGGTCGTATCAATATGAGCGGCAATATTGGAATAGATCCCCAGTGGGAAGAAGATAGCATTAGAGAGGACGCCCCAGAAGTCGAGAACGGTGGCCTGCCAGAAATGATACACATACTGGAGTTCGAAATGCCATCCACGCTGGGAGTTGCGAGACGCGAAGGCATGATTTTCCCTGACGGTTCACCGAATTTCGTCAATCACGCACAGATGTCCTCGTCTCTGCTAGAAGAACCAACTGAATGGCGAGGACCCAGCCCTACTGCGCCGCCTATATCAATGGATGGCGCAAATTCGGTGACATCAATGAGTCTTGGATCTGGCTCTGAGCCTGTCAGCGATGAGAGCAATGCCAATAAATTTCCTGATGAGGGGCACTTAATCGGAATCAATAAACGAGACTCTCGCCTCCCTTCACCTGAACCCGTCCCAGAACCGAGTGATAGCACGAACTCGGAATCTTCTGTGCTGATGAATACTGACGAGAGAAAATCTCGATCTTGGAGAAAAATAAAGGACAAGGACCTGGTCAACCAGGATGATGAAATTACTCCAGCACCGCCTCTGTGGGACGAGGAGCCTAATTATATTCCTCCGCCTCCGCGCCAGGCTAATCCTGCACAAGGCGCGTTTAATCCTGACCCGCATGCACGAAATACAAGGACAATACGCCAGCGGATTGCTTCTGCGAGACAGACCTTGAGGGAAGTTGTACAGGAGGATAGAGAATGGATAAGAGGAGCTATGGTCCGCATTGGTATTAGGTCTGAAGCTAACCCTGGCGAAAATGAATGTCCACCAGCTAGACTTCCAGAACCTGCGGCGGAGGAGTCGGTTCCCGAGAAGCTTTCTAGAGGAGCCAGAATCAAGACGCGCATCATACCTTATCTGAGCTTAAGGGGTGGCAGTGGGCGGCGCGGCAGTGTTTTTTTTCTAGGAGGGCAATCAGATGATGATGTTCCTTCAATAGACCTGTCGCAAGGTGACACTCCTTCAGGAGATCAATCGCAGGACAACAATCGCCAAAGAGAACAATCGCAAGGCAGCACTCGTCCAAGGGAACAATCGCAAGACAGCTCCTGTGTAAGAAGCCAATTTCAAGACAACTCTCGTCCATGGGAACAATCGCAAAACAATGCTCCTCAACGAGAAGAACGCCACAACTCTGGATCCACGGCGGTTTCTAGCCGCCCGAGGCCGTTACTGTCACCATCACAACAGTTGCGTCCTTCTTTTCACGATCAATCTCCAAGAGCGGAAGACCGCCATCGTAGGTCCGAGATTTCTGAGCAACCACCGCCACCAGAACTTCGGCATTCTTTTCACGGGCAGCAAGAGCCCATGAACCAGCCTCCTCCGAGAGGTCGGCCATCAGAATACACGCATCCACTAGCTCGGCTCGCTGAGTACCAAAACCGTCAGCAAAATAACCAGCAAGGCCAGCCTGCTGATGCTGCGGGTCGTGGAATGTATGACAGGGACCCGTACCTGAGGCCCCCCTCTCGTCGCCGCGGGTACCGGCAATATGATCATCGTCCAGGTGGCGTGAGACACTACCGAGGTGTCAGTTCCGGGTCACTAGGATCCAATTCCGTGCGCAGTGATGGGAGCCAGAGCGTGGGTCAGAGCGTGGGTCAGAGCGTGGGTCAGGACGGGGGCCAGGATGCGAGACAACCCGAGATGCAGAATGCGAGCCAGAACGTGAGCCAGGAAGTGAGTCGGAAGAAGGGTCAGATCGACGGTCAGAACGATGATCAGAACGTGAGCCAGAACGCAGGCCAGAACGCAGGCCAGAACGCAGATCAGAACGCAAGCCCGAATGAGGGTCAGCATGAGGGTCTGGGCATTCACCGATGGGTCCCGGAGCACTTGCTTGAGGACTATTTCAACGCGCGTGATACCCGGCTGCAGAGGAGAAGGGACAGGCTATCAACACTTAGCAAGGCAACAAGCAAGAAGGTTAAAGAGAAGATGACGAAATTTGCTACGCTAGGGAGGAGACCTAAAGAACTGGAGCCTGAACCTATAGGGGGTGTTCTAGAGGAGCATTTCACTCCATCCCTCGCGGCGGCTCCTTCAGCGCCCCCGCCTAACCCTCTGCCCGTGCCCGTGGTTGCTTCTGCGCACTCGGGTGCTCCTGTGCCACTTCTCACTGAAGTGCCGAATGCTGCGCCGGAGTCGGGGATTAGGGTCCGCGAGAAGGCGTATTCCACGAACAGTTTGACCCGCGGCTTCAATATATGGCCGTTCAACAGGAAGAGGACTAATGTGAGTATAAATTTTTAATGACCGGGGACTATGATGACTGTAGCGTTTGGCACATTCCATTGCTGACACGGAAACATCGGTGTAGTGACTTGGTATTGGGCGTTTTTGAGTATTATTGGCCCCTGTTTGAGGATGACTTGACTTGGTATGGGAGCGTTTTTGAGTATCATTGGGCGCTTGTTTGAGGATGGCGGGTTTTGGGTAAGTTATAGAAGAAGAGAGTGGTAGTGGTTATGGGGTGGTATAGACTAAAATTGGCGGTGGTAATGAGTTATCCCGCGTTACAATAGGACTTTTGAGAATCTGCCTGTGTGGATTTTTCTATGATTTTCATGTACTTTGTAAGTCAACTATAGATAGTACTAGAGCATCTTTGCATACGCCAAACTATACTATTACCTATCTTAAATCCTATGGGCTGTTCTACATGCGACGCAGCAGAGGGGCGCGAGTGTAACAGCGTATTGCATTCAATATACTGATGAAAAGGCTATTAATGAATTTCTCGTGTATTTTGATACTTCTCCCCTTGTTAATCCCAGACCGACTTTGGAGTGGTGTTTCACCTGGTAGACTGAGCCGCTGTAGGAGCTGCATATAGTGTGAGTGGTTCTGTGGGCAGCGACGCAAGGTGTAATTTACGCGCAGGCTCTGGGAACACTTCTGGGTAGCACAGGTATGAATTCATCATATCAAATTCACTTCATCTCATACTCCGTCACTTCATTTCACATAAACATGCATGATATGAATAGATTCAATGACGGCAGTTTGCATTAAAGTAATTGCCCTAGCCTATCTCAGCCCATTCATAACAGATCCCTCATCATCAGCATGTCCATAGTAATCGAGCGAATCCGAACAAAAGAATCAAGATCAGGTCAAGTAGAGCACAAAACAAACTGCATCCATTATCCTCATATCCCATTAAAAGTCTCCATTATTCGCAAACTCAAATCCATCTTTTCCACAGCCATGGTGCCTGAAAACACGCCAGCCACACACAAATAAAACATGTGCACAGGGGCGATGCACACCCGCCGCTCAGAGGAAGACCGCGACGATCCCGCTGAGGAACGCAGCACCAAGGCCAATGAAAATGCGATCCGCGCCTCCAGTGGCAGGAGTTGGGGTCGGCAGCACTGGGACCACCGGGGTGTTGGGCACTGGGACGGGAGTCTCAGCGACAGGGGTGGGAATGACAGTCGTGCTGCCACCGAGGGTGATGAGAGGCTGGGTGGCGTGTGGTGGGGGAGCGGTGACGGCGATGAAGGTCGTGCGGGTGGAGTTGAAGGAGACAGCTGGAGGGTTGACGATGGGGGTGACGGTGTTGTTGGTGACGACGATGGGGCTGCCGCTGGGGGTGAGGACGGATCCAACAGGCTGGACGGGAGCAGTTCCAATGGGCTGGACAGGGATCGAGGTGACGGAAGGAGGGTTGGTGGCAACGGTTGGCGGGGCAGGGTAGCTGATGGTGCATGGGCAGTCTGGAGAAGGGTTAGTTGAGGTCGGAAGGTGGGGACGGGGTGGACTTACTGGAGATGGTCAGAGTGGTGGCCTCGGTGATGGTGTAGGTCTGAACTCCTTGCGTGAAGGTGGTTGGGCTGGGGCAGATCGTAACGTAGGCGGAAACGGTGGTGACGACCCAGATATCGACGGTCTCACTGGCAACTGGAGTGTTGACGACGTCGGGGATGGCAGCAGTTGGATAGTCGATGGGTCGAGTGATGACAGCAGTTGGATAGTCGATGGGTCGAGTGATGGCAGCAGTGTTAGCGGTGACCTTAGTGCTGGCAGCAGTGTCAACAGGAGTGGCGGAAGCTTCAGTCTCAGTCGGGGTTGAAGGAACATCAGGGGTGGTCTTGTAGATGTTGTTGGTTCCACCAAAGTCGGGAGAGAAAGCAGTGATCGTTGGAAGAGAAGGAGGGGTGATGGTGAACCAAGGAGCCTCGTGACCAACGGCAACGGCAGCTTTATCGCCATCGTCGCCACCTTCAGCATTGAGAAATCCACCGACTCCGACTCCGAATACGCCGTGGACGAGAGTCAGAAGCCAGAAGGCGGAAAGAATGGCCTGGATGATCTTCATCTTGACGAGTTGGAAGATTGAATTGATCGTTGAAGTTTGAATTGATTGGAAACAAAAGAAAGGGTGATGAAACGATAGTGTAGAGTGGGGTTGTAACGACGGACGAAATGAAAGTTGTTGTTGTGTTGTAACGAAAGACGAAAGTGGAAGTTGTGCAAGAGACGCGTTTGGAAGTGTGCGGTAAATAAATAGGCTCAACCAAAAGGGAGGTGGGTGAAAACGTTAAGCGCCTGTATTTACTATCTGTCGCGTCTATTTGGGAGAGTTGGTGATAGTTGGGAATAGGTGGGCACTCCCACCTATTTTCCCCTATTTTCCCCCCTTTCCCAAAACAATCCCACAACACCACCACCAAGCGAAACAACGCAACCCAACCCTTATAATGCAACTTAAGTCGTCTTTAAATCAAGCGGCACAGTGGCACAGTAGAAGCAATGACATAAAATACGCTCCCATTAAGGACAACGTCAAGCTAGCACTGCGAATGGCTCTCGACAGGGCGTATACAAGACACCAAGAAGACAGAGCACTCAACTCGCCACGACACAGATTACTCTGACACCTGGTCAAAGCAGACCGAGATTCCATTATAAATAACATGTATAATAGCACTGAGATAGGACAAACCTTCAACCACATGCGAATTAGGAACAGGCATCGACCTCTCCATCGAATACGAGGAACGGGTAGAGATCCCTTCACCCGCCCAAGAGAAATAGGCAGCGATCTCCCTCCTGCGCGAAACAGGAACAGGGTCAAGATCAACAAGCCAAAAAGACAGAGCAAAGAGCTCCCTCGACCCGCGTCCCAGGAACAGGACTCGATCACCCCCAAACACACCCCCTTCAGACACCATTCTCGCCCTCCCTCCCAGGAACAGGGTCAAGATCAGCGTGCAAAGACCAGCGCATCCACATTTTTTCATCCCGCGGCGCAGGAACAAGTAGCGATCAGCAACGCGTGGCGAACCAATGTGGCAAAGATCCGAGTGACGTAACCTTATTTGAAACATTTTCGAGAAGATCTAGACCGTCGACCACCGACGACGATGTAGACCACACGAAGGTAGACAGGGCCCAGAACGAAAACAAGAATGAGTACGTATAATACGTACGAGGGAGCGGAAGCGGAGGGAAGTCGGGGTGGCGTGGGGATGGGTGGAGTGATATGTCTGCCCACGGCGGACTACAGACTTCTCGTGGTGGGGGATAATGGCATCGTGGTGGAAGTTACCGTTGGGGAGGAAGGTGCGAAGGGGGAAGGAACGACTGCGCGGCCGTGGGGCCATCATGGTCGTCGTGTCAGGATAGATGGGTGGTACGTTAATTAACGCTCTTTTCGCAGGGTCCACATTATTCGAACAGCTCCACTGTGTTGCGTGTCTCAGTCGAGAAGTCGGTCGTTTGTTCGGTACGTGGGAATGGGAAGTAAGGGACTTGTGGATGTTGGCAGTGGTAGTGTGTGGTGTTTGCCGGTATGCTTACTGTTCAGTCCGTACTGCATCTACATACAGATGCAGTACGTGTATTCCCATGGCGGATACTCTTACTGTGGAATGTTGGATGGAAGGTGGAGGGTATCACCAAACAGCAAGAGATGGTAGGTCAGCCCTGTGCGATGAAAGATCCAGTTCCCCCATCATCGCCGCACGGCAATGTTTCGGTACGGCAGGAGCGTGGAGACGAAAACCCACCATCTACGGCTTCTGACTGGTGCAGACCGGTTAAGGTAGGGCATTAGGGCAGGCACAAGCGGATGATCTTTGACAAGGTAATTCACGACCCACTATCACCACACGTTGATTTCTCGTGGGGAGGAAGGGAGGAAGGAAGGGAGGAAGAAGGGGAGGAAGAAGGGGAGGAAGGAAGGAAGGGAGGAAGGAAGGGAGGAAGGAAGGGAGGAAGGAAGGGAGGAAGGAAGGGAGGAATGAAGGTAGGGGCGAGGGGTAAAGAAGGTGAGGGGTTCTCAAACTGAACGTCTTACTACCCTTAACCAGGTTCCACTGCACAAACCACCAACAGCATGCACGTACACTGTACACCGGTTGCGCTCTGAACCAGATGCATATTACCAGAAAACACCCCGAACCAGATGCATTCTACTAAGGGAGGCTGATACCCGTGAAGTGCAGTGTGCAGGAGAGAGATCACGGGATTCCCATTTCCTTGTCGCCTCCCGCCTACAGATCATAGGGCATCCATAGTGATGTTCCCAAAGACATTCTCATTGGCCACCCGGTCTCAACGACCTCGGTTCACTTCGTTCGATTCTCCAGGGTTCTTCACCCGTCCAGGTACCCGAGTCAAGATCCAATAGTCGATCCACCCAGAACAGCGGGACCCAAAGTTCTAGACACTCTCCCGCCAGGCACATTCGAGGGCGTTTTCGGACGACTTCGACCCCACCAAGCATGACAGCTCAACTTCTCCCGTCATGTAGATACCCATTGGCGAACCAACACCGAGCCAGACCCTTCACCCTCTCACGGCCGGCCCATATAACGTCAAGTTGGAGGCAAGGGGGTCCACAATGAATCGCACTGATTTCCTCCTCCCCATCCACACGCCCTTTCGCAGGCAGAGCATACGACGCTCACCTTTCGACGCCCCTGATCTGATGTCTATATAAACCCCCTCCACCGTGTCCTTTCGGCCCTCTTTCTTTTCTCCAGTTCGAACTCGAAGTTTATAATAAAACATTTTTTAAAAAAATACAGCCACACAGCAACTACATCCAACCTATATACAACTCAACCAACAACCCAACCGCCGCAATGCAATTCTGGCAATCTTTCCCGATCGCGACGCTATTCGCCGTCGCCGCCGCCGTGAACACCGTCAACATGGTCTCTCAAGACAGCACAAACCGCCAAGTCATCTTCACACCTCAAGAGGGCTCGCCCGAAATCCCATCCATGGACCTCCCCGGTGGAGCCTCCAAAGTGACCACCTTCCCCAACGGATGGATAGGCAACTGGTACACCGTCACAGAGGGCAAGGAGAACAAGCCCGGCATGCTCGGTGAAGTGCGCTGGGACGGTTTCACCGGCTCAAACTACTTCGATGTCAGCGCCATCGTCAACCCGGATGACCACGACGGAGTGAAGATGGTGTACCCGAAGAACAGCAAGACCCCGATGAGCGGGTGTCAAACCTTCCCTTGCAGCAACGCATACAACCTCCCAGACGACATCCAGACGCTGTCCACACCGGAGACCGAGCTCGAGTGTCTGATCGGGACCAAGGCCGGCGCCAAGCGCAGGCACGCGAGGCATATGCTTTACGTCTAAAGCATCCTCGTCATTGAAAAAGTTTTGAATTTTGGCCGGCGTTGTTTCACTGAAAAAAAGATTCGAGCCGCAGCTGGATTGCGGCTTTGAACGACTGGGATTTGGAAAATTGGACGGATTGGAAGGATTGGGGGAGTTGGGAATACAGGAAGCGGACGCGCTGCTGTATGGCCGGAAAATCATATCTTTTAGATTGGAATTGATAGTTGAAATTGATTCATTAAACTTGACCATCCTTGCTTCCTCCCCTCCGCACCGCATTGTCGGACGCTTGGTGTGCCACTCCCTTACCTCGATCACATACCCACCCTTCTGCATCACCACACTCACCTCACCTGACTGCCCCCTCACAAACCAGATTTAACGCTTAAAATATCGTGAAATACTTAAATTTTATTACAGAGGGGAGAATACTAAATTGTACTATGGTCAACAATCGAACGTTCCGGTGTTTACAGGGAATAGCACTTATGATGGCGTATTTATGTCATTGGTCTGGATATTCCATCTACGAGCTTTTGATTTGCTGTTATGGAAAGCAGTTTATTTGCGCGCGGGAACAGCTCCAAAACTAAAGCAATCTCGGTCCTCTGCGTCTCGATCAGGACTTGGGCGAAATTTTACAGCATGGTGTCTCCTGTTTAACCGCCGGAATATCAACACATCATAGTCCATAAAAGGGCTCCCTGCCTTTTCGAGAGATCACCCAGAACACATTCCGAACAAGGGCGAATTCGTGACGAAAGGAATAGCCCATAGCTCTAGACGCAATATTTGCCTTCCTACCAGCTCCCAACCCGAAAATTGACGTCCCTGGATATAAGCAAGCACTTTTCTCTCGAATAGGGGATATCACACTCGAGGAGATCATTGCTCGGCCAATTACCGTCCTACTCCCTGCATTCTCCATCTACGAATCTACCAGTCCTTTGGTAGAAGTGAGCCACAGAACTGGCCTTCCACTATTCGGTAGAATTCGAGAAGCGGATACATTACGTCAATTTCATAGGATAACCTGGCACCAGCTCTTTCGGTCATCTCTAGAGGCTTTCACTTCATTCGTCGCTACTCAAGTACTCTGCATACCTCCCCATTGGAAGATACTCTCGTGCTATGTTCGCCTCTTCCTCGCGTTCTATGCAACTGCTCTTCTCACCTCCCTGGGGTAGTAATTCTTGGAGAAAGTCCCTTCGCACTGGGACGTACCAAAGTTCTTTTTAATGCAGGCTGTTGGGGATTATGTAGAGACCACGGTGCTCCATGTCTGGGCGGTAACAGGTAGAACTGCAGCTGACAATGTAACTGCTAGGAGGGTGTTGCATGAGGATTGGTTCGGGGCAAAGACGATGTTGTGCCTTGGAGCTTCATCAAGTGGTTAGGGTTCGGACAGTAACGCACTCTTAGGGTTCATCCAATATCGATTTACCCCTTGCGTATCCCTCACATCATATCCACAGCATAAGCAACTCTCACATGACCCCTCGCCACCGCTGGCTCCCTTGCCTCCTGAAGTCACGGGATATACACTATTCGCACGCCATGGCACCGCATCCAAGGCCTCCGATGCTTTCATCCATAGCCTCGATACGCCAAAACCAATGTGCCAGAAAATTTAATCGCATTGGGCACCAAACGAATTAATATTCTCGCTCCCAGTGGTATCACTCCCATGTCTCCTACTACTGGGGCAGAAGGGGTTTTGCCACAAGCATAATATTAGTCCTTTGCCCCCGAGTCACGGGATCATATGATCTCATCTCCCCTCGCTACCAGCGACAGAGTATGGGCTTCGAATCCCCCCGTGGTTCCTATCTGTGCTATGGCATCAATTACACGGTGGCTAAGGGTTATATTGGTCAGACCAAAGCCGGCAAGTTTTTCATTCGTCAAAGGGCAGAGCGGGAGAACATTCGCGAAAGAAAGCAATAAGAGCACTTTACCAAAGGACATAAATACCTCTCCCCGTGGTGTGGAAGACCCCTCTCTTTCTTTCTCCAGAGAAAATGAGAAAATCTGAGTATTCGTTATGTTTGCGCGTTAGGGTGAGGAGAAGCGGTAAGAGTTGCAGGGGCTTGGTGTGAGGAGGCTTGTTATGTTTTGCGCTCGGTTTTGATCTTCGATGATTTTTTTCTTTGGCTCGATCGATTGAGAAGCAATCGTTATTGCGGACGGGCGCAAGGCGTTCAGATCACGACTTGAGAGAACATATGTTGAAAGAAGCTATAGGGAGGCCACACGAGGCCACGAGCTGAGAGAACGACCACGCGTGGAAAGATCCTCAACATGCGCGGCAAGACCGTCAACATGCATGGTAAAAACATGCATGGAAAGGTCCTCTAACGTATGGAAAGACCTTCAACATGCGTAGATCGATCTCCAAATCGCGATCCCACAGCGATCGCGACCGACGACCTCCAAATGGTATATAAGTTCCGCCAACCGCTATCCGAGCATCAATGCTTACACGGACCCCGACTAGAAAACATGACCGCCCTCGCAGACGACCTGGTGTCGTCAAAATAACGTTTTTTTCCCGCTTCGGGACCCACCTCGATAGCGAGCGCCACGGGAACAGCAACGCACGTACCCCACCGTGTGAAGACGGTGTCGACCCCTTCGCGACGACCGCCGGTGCAGCTAACGATAATACGACTGCTGATGAGGAGGACGGCTAACGGGATGGCTAATTGGCTAATTGCAGCGACAATGGCTACCTTGATCGCGAGGTTTGCTAACTGGAGTAGGTGTCCGTGGCGACGGGGTGGAAGTAAGCTCGCGGAACGGCTTCGAGGGGGGGAAGTCGAAGATGGAGCAAGGAGACGGAAGTTCCATGGATTACCGAGGGCGCCAGAGCACAGGAGATTGAAAAGCACGGCGAAAGGGCTAGATTAGAGAAGCCAGAAGTCGGTGTTGAGCGTGCAAAAAGAGCGGCTAACACAGGGTGCTATTCTGATCCCAGCCGATGGGGTTCATGTATATATATGCAGATTTGCTGGATGCAAATGGTATTTATTTTTCATGTTACTAGCCAAAGTATTTGTAAAAAACTGGCTGGCCACTTGGCTTTGGTCTCGATAGCTGAGAGAGCGTATCCACATATGGAGCAGAAAGGAGGATCGACCACGCCATATGGTCTGTAGGCTGCGAGGTAAGGTAATCTGTCACTTTCCCTTTCCCATCTAAATGTCCACAGTGGAAGTCGGGATTGAAGTGCGCGAGCTTGGAGGAGTAGCATAGTGTCACTGCGGGCTTCTGCCTTTTGTATTTCTCCTTTTAGTTCGCAGAGAAGAGAGAGGCGGTGAATGATGTGCCAAAAATTTGTGGTCATTCCTAGAAGGGAGTCGACGGCGTTGTGGGGCGTGTGGCCCCTAAGATGTTTAACGGGAGAAGAGGTGTTGAAGTTGACGAGATGGACGGTGTGCCAAAAGAGAGTGTTGTGATAACATCATAGTATCGTCTCATCCAAAAAGTACAAAAGCATGGATATTTCTCTCCGGCTGCTTGCCTGCGTGTCGTCGGGAGGGCTGGTCCAATGCCCGCGCTATTATGGCCAATGTTCATTAGTTCCGTTGAGGCAATAAGTGAAGAGGATCGTAGCATTGCGACGATGGCATTTTCTGGGACACTCGGAGCATGGAAGATCGTTAAAGAGGTGTGGCGGAGGGGTGACGAAGGCGAGGAGGTGGATTGGAGAACCATTTGTAGAGAAAAGGGGGTCAATCTCGTCTTTGGATGATTAGTAATGGATGATGTTACCATCTTGGAGCTGGTCATTTTCTATGGAATTTGCCCGTCCCGAGTCGAACCCACCCAACGAAGCTCCCTCCACATGAGAGTTCAAGATAAACATCGGTTATGTCCATGAACTCGTTCGGGAGTGAGGCTGAGTTCTTAATTTAAAGGGGGTGTAAGTACCATTTAAGTGAGATGCAGCTCTAACACACACCACGTTAGTCATGGAACCCTCTGCAGTATTGGAGATAATCGTAGTGGATTATTGGGTTAGAAGCTCATCAGGTGATCATCTAGCAATCATGGCCCGACAGTTGCAGAGCGAAAATCGCAGGTACTCTCGGTGGTTTAGCCTATGAGCAGGGTTTATATGGTATATATCTTCCGATAAACAAGTAATTATCACATACGACCATAGACTCAAGAGAACTGGGCATCCCGTCCGCTCTGCCATACATAACCTTGAGATCGGTGGATTAGTAGTTGGGTGGGTGACCACCAGCGAATACCCACTGTTGTATGTTTTTGTCTTTTTTATCAATAAGTTATAGATTTACTTCCTCCTTGTACATGTTTCACAGGCAGGTTCATGGCTTCCATTTGTCAGCATTGTGGTTTTGCCCACATGCCAAGCATCGGCCAGTTCGGATCCTGCTTGGATTGCGAGCTTCACAAATGTAGTCACCGCTTTATACTCTGCCATTGGGTTCGCCACGTATCTTTGGCCCTTTTTTTTTCTGCTTTATCAATGATATTCTAGGGGAGTCGGCGGCAATATCTGATCTCTTGGCTTTATAGTGCATTTAACAGTGACATATGCCGCTAGAAGTAGAAGGTCCGCTCCATTTACGTCGCCTTATAATTATCTAAGAACTGCGCACACTCCGCATCATGCGTCGACGCCTTCGAATACACGGGCTGCGGGTTATTGTTCAGGGACAGCTCGATCAACGTATTCTTGTTAGGGTTGTAGGCTGGCCAGCCAACTTGCTTGGTGAGCCCGTGGACGGGGTCAGCTGCGAAGGCAGCGTAGGCCTTTTGGATGTGTCCCTTAGCATCTGTCTGGGCGCCGACTTCGGGGAGGCCGCTGACGTCGGCGGAGGCGCCGAATATCATGTGTAGATCCACGCCGTGGTAGGCACCGCTGGTGGGGTAGAGTCTGGAAAGCGGTTAGCATCTGCTATTGGTGGATATACTGTAGTATAAGGAACGGACCTAGTGTTATCCCAGTCACCGTGATGTCTGTAGCGCCACGTAGGGACACCGCTCGCGACACGCTGCGCGGCCTCGAGAGCAGTCGCGCAGGTGAAACACTCGAGATTGAAGTCGTCCCACACGGACTGGTTCAAGATCTTACCCTGTCCGTATGCGGGTACCTTGTAGTATCCGGCCTCGTTGTGGTTGTTCCCAACCATGTATGGCTGCAATCGTTAGCCCATTAATCAAGTCCCCAAAAGTCACAAAACTTCGGCAAGGGACCCTCCTTACAATCTTGGCCAGATTCCCAGCCTGTGCGCGCTCGTAGTAGTTCGAGAAGACAAGCTTCTCATCAATTGTAGCCTGGAACGGTGGCTGCGCGCGCGCCTGGCTCGTTCCCGGCGGTGACGGGACCATTGCTGTCGCAGCACGAATATCATCCCAGTTCGCCTGCCGCATACATGCCATGGCATTTCCCTGCGCTCCACATCCGAGCTGGTCCGACACGTTATACCAGTTCTGCGCCGCCAATTCAAGCGTATTAAGCGGGAAGCTATACGCGTTACCAGAGAGCGCGATAACGCCCGCGACAATAGGATCGCTCTTATAAGCGTAAGCCCAGAAGTCGACGGCGAGCCCTCCTGAGGACTGTCCGAAGATGGTGATCTTTGAGCAGTCGCCGTTAAAGGCGCCAATGTTAGAGTGGATCCATTCTACAGCCAGGCGCTGATCTTGCATGCCCAGGTTCTGGGACTCGCCAGGGGCACCGGGGTAGCCGAAGATGTTGAGGCGGAAGTTCACAGTGACGACGACGACGTCCTCGGCGTCGGCGAGGTACTTGCCGGTGAAGAAGGGTGTGTCTGTGCCGCCAATCGACCATCCTAGAATGCAGAATTAGCTTTAGAAAGCAGACAATGACCGGAGGTGCTCACTGCCTCCGTGGAAGAACACCACGACAGGCTTGTTCTTCTTCGCGGTCGGCTTGCTCCACACATTCAGGTACAAACAATCCTCTCCCACCGGATTCCCAAGAGTATTTACAAAAGCATCAATGATCTTCTGGGACTGCGGCGTGTGCTCTGGGTAGTCCACCGCCTTAACCCCCGTCTGCGGACAATTGCTACACGCTCGTCAGCACATACCCTCGACCTCACTACACATAAACGATTCCTTACTTCGACTAGAATCACTCAAGTCAGCAAAAGTTTCCATTTTGTAGAATCCATTAGTCCAAAATATCTCCCCCAAGGCTCTCCCCCAACACTCACACCCGAAAAACTCACAAATTTATCCGCGACAAACACCACACTCGACGCCACAGGCCCCAACTTCGCCGGCGGCGCAAACCTCAGCTCCCCAACCGGCGGCTTCGCAAAAGGTACACCAAGGAACTCATACACACCCTCCGCCTCTGGCGCCTTATGTCCTGCAATACGCCCGCTATTTGTCGTGACCGTGAGATCGAGCACCGCTGCCACCACCGACATGAATGGCAGTACAAGGGAGGCCTTCATAATTGCTGTGATTGCTATGTCGTTTCAACTAAACAAACTGTCACGACAAAGCTGCAGTGGAGACAAGGATAGCGAAGTGATAAACCTGAAATATATGCCAATCCCCACCTGAGCTCCGTAGGCGTCCTAGTGTGATGCGTTGGCACAACTGCACTTTCGGGGCTTATGGCTCACAAATGGCGAATTATGGAAAATAAGAGCAAAGCACCTAGCAAGGCACGTAAGCTAATAATGGTCAAACTCTGGTACCACAGAATTGACGCGAGAGTGTAACGCGAAATTGACACAGAAGTATTGCTTCGGCTCACCACCCTGTTCACCCTCGCTTCACTTCGCCTCACACTTGTTCATTTGAGTCGGACAATCTGATAGCCAAAATTCACCTCCCCAACCAGTTCCCTCACAGGCTCAACAACTCTTGAGAGCGAATCCACCATGCAGCTTTGTGCCAACTTGATAGCAGCCAGAGCTCGAAACCCCGGCTCATTCAGTTCTTGGGAATCTGATGGCACCTCAAGATATGGCGGAAAAGGCCTTCCATTGTTGATGGACGCAGAGAGAAGTATTAATAAGGACGTGGCTTTATGTGCTTCGGTGCTAGTTTCTAGCCTCGATTTTGCAAACTGGAACGCCAAACCAGAGAGGGTGACTCCCTCCGTGCAGCTATAAATGTCTCGGATGCGAAACTAATTACTGGAAAGGTAGTTGATAATACTGCAATTTAATTAAGCATTAGCTTCTGATCTATGTTGGGGGGGGGGGCAATAGTCTTCATCGTATTACTTACTTTTGAACTTCATCAATGATCGATGTATAAATTTCTTTGGCAAATTCGCCTCCGAAATTGGGACCCCAATCCATAAATGACAAAGTTCCGTCTCATCGATTTCTGCAAAGCAAACTGCTTCTGTAGTAGATCCTGTCGTGACTTTTCAAGTCTCCGCCCTGGGCTGGAGCGCGAAGACTCATGTCGACTTCCTTGTCCTGCAATCGATGGTCGACAGTAGACGTCGTTGAGTTGAGGTAGTTGGCGAGAAGGAATAATTAGGCTGCGCACTGGGTACTCACGAGTCGAGTAGTAGAATTTTTACTCACCCAGCTGAGTTACTCACTCATGTCCCGAGTATTGTTGAATGAGGATTACTCACTTGCTGAGTACCTAGTATGGGTCTTGGCAACTCAGTTATATCACGTGTTTGATTAGCCATTACTTATGTTAAAAACGGGGCGCGACTTCATTGATCAAGACGCCATAACTCCATAACTCCATAACTCCATTCCCATATTGTTGATGTCCTATTCCACACTATAACCTTTGGCCTTTAGGTACCAGGTTACCAGAAGGTTGCCAGAACTCAATTCCTGGGTGAGACACATTTCCATCGATTAAGCCCACAGCTCCATGATTAAAACATCATATCCCGCAAACGCCGAACCAATATCATATCCTTTGCCTGAATTGTCACTCTCTTCGCATAAATAGCGAGAAGGTTTATCACTATAACTGTTAGTATGTCCCTATCACTATGTTTAAACATCATACTCTCAAATTCTCGAATGAGGAAGCATTCAGCAGCTTCCTGAAGAGCTAGGATAGCAGATTGCTGGAAGCGAAGATTGGACTTGAAGTCTTCTGCAATTTCCCTAACAAGACGTTGGAATGGGAGCTTTGGGATAATTAGGCTAGTATTGAGTTGCTGTCTTCTGATATCGCGGAGAGCCTTGGTGCCTATATGTTTATTAGAGAGTTCTGGTAATCCTCTGGTAATCCTCTGGTAATCCTCTGGTAATCCTCTTACCAGACTTTGCGCGGCGCGTGGCCTTCTGAGCATGATTGTTGCTAGCTTGAGATGAGCGAACTGGAGCTTTTCTTGCTGTGCCCACGGCCTTTTCCTTTCCCTTTCCACCAAGCCCAGAGCCAGCTCGTAATCCAAGTGGCATCCTTGGTGCTGTGCCACTAGTTGATCTCCTAGCAGTTTGCTTGGTACGAGCCATTTGCTAATATCAAGGTGAGTTAGTGAAGTAAACACAAGACAAAGAAGTAGATCAAAAGATATGTGTACTTACAGTGAGTTTGTAGGAAGAATATTGCAGAAGAAGAGTATAGAAAAGAGGTAGAGGTTGAAAGGTATGTGTTTTATATGAAGGTGCATGTTGTGGTGTTGCTTTTGGAACAATAATTCTTTGTAGGTGAATATTCCTTCACGAATATTTTTATTTGCAACTTTAAAATAACCACGACCTTAGAACCACCTTCCTTGGTTACTCCCTCCAATCTACACATTCTTCTTCCCTTTTGCGCCTTCACCTCTTCACTAGGACTTCAAGTAAGTTTATTATCTTGATTCTATAGCCAGAACTTCTGGCGATCTTCTGCTAATCACGTGTTTAGTATGGCGAAACGCAAGGCACCTGAAGAACTCTCCACTAATGTGAATACTATCAAAGCTCACCACCGCGTCTCCAACCTTACTGAATATGAGAAGGCTGTTCACTTAGCACTCAAGGCTGACCATGCTGATCTGAGCTACTACTTAAAGAAGTTATATAAGTCTGCAAAGTATATCGCTGCCTCTACTGAAGACAAGACATGTCTACAGAATGAATTGAAGGTTGAGCGTATTCGTGTTCGGTAAGTTCCTACTGGTAATCTCTGGTAGCCTCAATCTAACTATAAACAGGACTGAGAAGGGTACCCATGCATCTTGCATTGCGAATCAGAAAGTCAAGAATATTAGCGCCTCTTCTTCTCCACAAGCCCCACCATCTACTCCGCCCAAACAACTTCTGTCTGAGCTTGCTGCATTTGAGGGTATCTCAAGTATTCCAATCGATGACAATCATAACAGCGAATGGGAGGATACTGAGGTTGAAGACGATTTGGAGTTGGAGCTTATGTTACAGCGCGAGATATTTTAAATGACGAGGCTGTTCTACCGGATGAGCTTTCCGATGAAGAGATCACTAGCACCCAGGCTCTCTTAACTCAAGCGCACATTGATGTATGCTACCTCATAATCTGGTAATCTTCTGGTGATACTAATAGTTGATAGGCCCATGAAGAGTCCAATTTCCGCAAGTGGCAACATTTCTGGGATAGCTGTATCCACTCATATACGAGAAAGGCTGGAAAGCTGAGAAAGAAGCCTGAGCGTCTCTTTGAGTATATGCCGTGGGTTGATGTAGAGGAAGGGTACGTCTCTGATCATCCTAGCAATCTTCTGGCAATACTAATTGTTTATTATAGCACTTTTCATGAGGTTATCCCACCACATAAATATTTCTGTTTGTACGAGCAGGCAGTTTGGAAAGTGGGCCTAATTACCAGGACCTGTGCAGTGGTACCCAAAGTCTTACAATTTTGTCGACAATGGATGGTTGCAAATATCCACTCATAGTTCTAGCTTCAAAGAGGCGTTCTTACTTGTCTACTCTAAGAAGTTTGATAAGGAAAAGTGGGCTAAGGTATCAGCTGCACAGGATATGTTGTTCCTGGAGCTAGAGTAGAGGAGAACTTGAGTTGCTAAAGTTATAGCGCTGGAGTACCTTTCGCGTTGGAAAACCAGGTATTTAAGTACTTCATCGTAGCCAGACTTCTGGTAACCTTCTGATAATCGAGCAATTTGCCAAATGCCATCTCAATACTCAGAGTTGTTTGATTCTGACAGTATTCTCAGACTCTTTTCCGTCTTCTCAACGACTATCCTCATTAAATTAAGTCTGTAAGGACACAGGGCACCCAGCTCACAGTAATAGCATATGAGAGTGCGAGTCAGAGGCTAAACGGATGCTATCCTATAGGTCTACTACGAAGGATACAAAAAAGATGAAGAGAGGAACCCCCGTTGGGTCAATCTCCTTAAGTACCCGAAACGGGTCTGACTCAGCTAACCTGCCTTAACTCTTATCATGTGACCGTAACCTGCCCGACTCAGATCCTTTCCATCACTGAGGGACAGGCATCCTTACAAAGTCCCTGCAGGCCTTGAATATATTGGCAAGTTAAACCAATTCGTCAAATGGACTAAGGATACACACGATATATTCATTGAGTGGTGGAAGCTATCACGATGGTATGAACAACACTCAGATCATACTACAAAACTCCTTATGAAGATTGCATGGGATTCAACCAACTGGAGTTCTCAATACTGGAGAAGTTATCACCAAGGAGCAGACCGGCTTTCTGGAGAACCATGTGTTATTTGTACTTATTGTTCGAAGGCCCTTACGCATCCTGCAATCAAGTCTGCTGGCCCAAAGTCTATGGCAACACATCTTGCATCAGACATTTGCAAAAAGAAGTCACAGATGGGAAGGATAGTCTCTATCAAATGCGAATCAATCAAATGCAACCTCAACAAGTAAGGATTACCAGATTATTACCAGAATTATGTAGGTTAATACCTATAATAAGATCATATTCTCACACAAGAGACATTTTATGAACAAGTTCTATACACAGTTATCTTGACTCATAGCTCGTTCCGCTCAGTCGAGGATCCTCATCAAGACCCTATAAATACTTTAGGTATTAGTAGGTCTGGCCGGCCTCATCAAGCAAGGTGGAGGGATGTTCTTAAGCATATATAATAGATAATAGCGTTCTAATAATCTTCTGATAATCATGGTACTTAGATAGAGGAATATACATGATTCGTTCTCACAGCTTACTAGAGATGGCGAGAGTGATGCTAATAGATGTAATACTTTAACTTAACCATAAAACAGTATTAATCGTATGAGGGACTGTTCACATGATGCATAAATCTTACACGTGATAGCCGAGTACTCACCGGGTTTTTACAGAGTAACTGAGTATTGACCTCACTCACCGAGTCGAGTAAAAGGTTCAGCTACTCACCCAGCTGAGTAACCCACTGAGCGAGTGAGCCGAGTATTGAGCGAGTAGTGCGCAGCCTAGGAATAATGAAGTCCCCAAGTCTCTGCGAAGAACAAAACCTTCCGTAATTGGCACAGGGAAGTTAGTGAATATGTAGGCAACAATGCGAAACTAATTACTGCAAAGGTAGTTGATAATACTGCAATTTAATTAAGCATTAGCTTCTGATCTATGTTGGGGGGGGGGCAAGAAGCCGATAGGGGGCTAACAAATATATCTCATAAAATGCCTGGCCCGTCGCAGTTGCTGCCTTTCTACAATCCACACGGACCTGTAATTCATACTCTATATCTCAATTAGTATCAGAGGTAATTTACGACGGTGTTAAATTCCCCGAAACGGAAAGTTGTAGTACATACCGACGATTAGTACGTGGGTGATAGCCCCTGAAGCAATAGCGACCAGAAATCTAGGATACTTGACAAGGAAGTAGAAGTAGACCATAAGAAAAAGAAAGAGAAAAACGATAATTCCGGCAGTCTTCTGTCCAACAATATACCAGTTAATGAATACCGCGACTGTTGCTAGCACGGTTGTGCCTAGATTTGTTATCAAGGTGAACACGGGCGCTGGCAGTCGTTGGGTTCATCCCAAGGCAAATTCTCGCTACCCCCCATGGCTCGCTGCCCAAAAAAAACCTGCGTGTTTGATGATACATTACTAATGCATTATAGTACATTAAAGATTTAATCCTTAACGAAGATAACTTCATGGTAGTATGCTTCTATATAGAGGTAGCTAAAGTGTTATTGAAAAGGGAAGATTAACATGACCTTTAAGAGGGTTAAAGCTTCTAAGATTAACGAGGTTATATTTGCTACATTTCTACTAGAGTCAAATAAAGGTACGACTCTAATTCATTTATAAAGCATTACTAATGTATTAGTAATGACATTTGTTCAGGTTTTTGTTAACTAAGAAGCCATCATCGCGATACTCATCGACGCAATGGTCACCCGCGCGCCAAACTTGGAGGGGTCAGATCCAAAGAATTTAGGTATGACTCTGAGTTGATCGCCAAACGCCTGCCAGAAGTTTTTGGGAGGTAGATGCTCGGGGTCTTTGGGAGTCTGGAGTGAGTGTCCAAGGGAGACTGTCTGGACATCGGCTCCCACGCCACCGGCTTTGTAGATTCCTGGGTTCGAATCTTCGCCATGAATAAGCCCTTTTACCAACTTTGTCACAATCTTTAGAGAAGGAAAGATAAATTGTCGTTTCTCCAATGTTCCGTCTGTAACCCTTGACTCGGCACATCGAACAAAGGCTAGGATCCTTTTTGAAACGGAGTACATAAGGTATTTGTTGAAGGATGAGGTTGCTCAGACTGATTGGTTGGGCGCGACTGGAACCCGATACTTACCACAGATATAGACATGTTTATCATGAATTTTCCACGTGGAAGAATCGTAACAGACAAGATAGAGACCACTATGATCAAATACCCAAAATTCACGTACGGGACTAGGCAATATCGATTGCTCTACCACGACCATGTCGTCAGGGATTGGCTGCCCGCCGCTCGTAGCTATTATACTTCGGTCTTCACCACCCTGGGTACCTTTCAGTGCCTGTCTAGCTTTGCTTGCTTGGTATTCATTTATACGGAGTCGTCTTGTTTTGGCATGAGCTATACGAGCGGGGTGCGAGTTTGTTCGCCGCTGATCCTTCGCCGACGTGGCATCTCCTTGACGGGACAGATTGACGAATTGGATTATTCCCAGCCCGCTCGACGCCACCATTAGATACTTTTGGTAGACGGCAGAATTGAAGCAAGCTCTTGGAATTGCTAGCAAACGTTGTGTTCGATTTCGGAATGCATGGGATGGAAGGGTCAGCTACGAACGACACATGGTTCGGTTCCTATGATATGAATTTGGTCTGATCATATTTCGAACACAACAGTGTAGCTTGCTATTGGGCATCATATCATTTAGCTATTTCCAACTTATAAAGCTTAATCGATTATCCATTTATGCCAAGACTTGCTCCTTCTGAATGAGGGATAGGTTCCTCCGAAACGGCGGAGTTCCAAGCATGGCCAGCGCGTACTTATCAACAGCGAACCGGAACCACTTGAGGATCGTAATTGCGAAGGGCAAGAGGATTTAGATAGAAATATTAAAAATTTATTAAAAATATAGCTATTATCACTCCCACATGAAATCTAACCTACAACTTCTCTATCTCTATTGGCAAGCTTCTCCTTTTCATTTCTTGCATGGTTCTCCACGCCGACCTCTGACAAATCGACCTTAGCACGCCAGCCCATCCACCAGGGGCCGTCAAACAGCTCCTCCATTCTTTCCATTGGAATCCCCTTTGTTTCAGGGGCCCAAATACCAAGCAGGACGAATCCAACAGCGCAGACTATCGCCCAGAAAATATACGCGCCCCAAACATCAAGGCTCACGAACATATTTGGCGTTACGCGCACCACGGCAAATTGGAAGAACCAGTGCAGGGCCATGTTTGTTGCATAGCACACGCTGCGAATGCGCGTGGGGTATATTTCCGTGCCATAGAGGTACTGCACTGTGCAGAGACCGATTGACCATCCAACAGCGTAGATGAATACCGAGGCGATGGCTGCATCGGATGCTGACTTGTTGCCGGAGTCCGCGAAGATGGACATGTATATTGACATGTAGATGTGGGTAATGCATTGAAGTCCGAGGCCAGTAAGCATGCATCGGCGGCGTCCAAATACATCGACAAGACCCCAGGTAAACACCATTGTAAACACAAGCTTCACAATGCCGTATGCCCCCGAGTGATTAGAGAGGTATTGGTTCCAACTACGCCTGCGTAGGTGAAAATCTAATTTAATTGTTAGCAGATATCACCCATGGACACGTTAAAACGTACCTCGGGAATATAATAAGTAATTCCGTTTCCTCCGCTCCACTGTGCAACAGTTTGCATAGCAGCGCCCAGTAAGAAACGTTTGCGATAAGTCGATATCGTAGCAACCTCTTTGAAAATTGTCCATATTGGGACTCCAGCAAGGTTTTGCTGTCTCAGCTGTATTTGCTGCTGGATTTCTTCATATTCCAGGGACAAAGCAGGGTCGCTTTTATCAGAGTGGCGAAGACGTTCAAGAACCGCAAGAGCCTCCTGGCCACGGTCTTTGGATGCTAGCCATCGAGGGTATCGGACAGGAAAAACGAACATATGAAAGCAATTCCAACAGGAATGAGCGGTATAGCCTGGACAAGGCGATATTGAGCAGCACCGACGGGCATAGTGCCGTTCACAGCATAATTAATGAAGAAGCCTGGTTATAGTTAGTGGTGTTGTCGTACCATCAGGCTTCGGGTGGACCTACCAATCGACAGAATGTGAGAAGCAGCACCATATACATGCTGACAATAATTCCTCTGGTCTTTGCAGGAGCAATCTCGGAGAGATACAGGGGTGCAACGACGGTAAGTCCTCCGGACCCCAACCCTCCCCAAATCCTGGCAAATAGCATGAAGCCAACAATACCAGACGAAAAGACCTGCATGAAAGATACGCTAGCCCATAGTACAACAAACAGTTGCCAGCATCGTAATCGACCCAGTCTGTCGGTGAGAGCAAGGGCGATTAAGGAGCCGAACGCCGCACCAAGAACGCCAAACGATGATATGTTGGCTTTGCGGTCTGCGAGGCCTGATGGGTCGTTTTTCCAGAGCGAGGGTACCAGCCCATAATCATTCTTGAATGACTTCAATCCAACAGAGGCACTAAACCCTCCTTCGTCGTATCCTATATAATATAGTTAGTGGCTGTAGCGGCAAAGATTCGGGTATGCCGTACCTTTCGGAATACTTCCTGATGCAATCACCAGAATGGTGAAATACATAGTACGGATTGATGTCAAACATGGCCCCTCAGTAAATAAGCAGCAATGTGAAACGAATGTGCCAAAACTGTAATAGCAAAAGTTGGGAAGCAACCCCAGCTTTATTCAACTGTTATATGTGGGGTAGTCGTGACCCAACGTTCATTGCGGATTTTGCGGGGGGAAAACGTGAGCTTCGCGTGGTATCCGTTATATCTTCCCGGATTCGGCACCAGAGTGAAGTTGCCCAGAAATATTAACCTGACACCAGCAGTGTAGGCTCTGCCATGAAGCTGACAGGAGTGAAGTCGGGTGATGGAGGGAGTCTCCCCTCGGAAGTTGGCCGCCGAGACCGTGCACACGTTGCACAAACCCCACAAGTTTGTGCTCTCGGTCAACTTCCGATGGCAAACGCGGCGGCAAACGACTTCAACACGTTACCGACCTAACAAAATCGTATTTTTGACCACAACGTAGCTAGTGGTATCTTATCATGCCGAGGACACGCAATTACGCATTACGGAGTCATCTATCCGGTGCACTAATTGGGTATATATTTATAATTCTCTTTTTCTCTTCATATTCGCATTTTTTACAAGACTTGGTGATGCCGTAGCCACGCGAATTCTCGTCGAGCCTCCTTTTACGAACTTTTTTTATCTCGTCTATACTCTATATAATATCTCTTAAAGGATTGTGCAGAGAATGATCATATCTGTGATTGGCCTAGCCAGATCCATCATGAGGCGCTTTATGCGTCCTATTTTCTTTCTAGCCAGAGCATCATCTTGGAGACAATACTGGACCGGCTCGCGCCCGACACAGAAAGCTTCTATTCGAGAATTACTCCTTCAAAAGATCCCCCACAAATCATGGGACAGCCATATGCACGTAGTCGACCCAACGCAATATCCTCTCGCCGAAGGGGCACAATATACCCCCCAACCTCATCTTCTATCAGACGCCTTAACATTCGAGTCAACACTGGGTATCTATAAGATCGTCCTTGTTCAGCCATCAATTTATGGCAACGATAACTCGTGCATGCTCGACGCCTTACGCAGGATTGGCCCTCAAAATGGGCGCGCTGTTGTAACATTCGACCCGAAATCAATCAATTCTTTAACTCTCGATGTGTGGCAGAGGATAGGGGTCCGAGGAGTCAGAATCAACCTGCAATCTGTGAGCCAGCAGATGGATCCAGTTGAGCTCACGGCCACCTTGCAACAATATGCGGACATAATACGCCCATATGGCTGGGTGTTGCAGCTTTATGTCCCGCTCAATACGGCGACTGTATTGGAGACCGTTGTTCCGAAATTAGGAGTGAAGGTTTGCTTGGATCATTTTGGATGCCCAACGCTATCCGGTACTTTTGGATATCCAGTCGCTGGTGACCCATACTCCCTCCCGGGATTTACGTCGCTCGTCAACCTTCTATCGCAAGGAAGTACATATTTGAAAATGTCTGCACCATATCGGCTGAGCCCAGATGCTGGACATCTGGATTTGGAGCCTATGGCGAAAGAGCTGCTGAGAGTTGCGCCGAACCAGATAGTGTTTGCATCCGATTGGCCGCATACACGATATGAGGGATTGGACATCAAGCCATTGTGGAAAGTGTGGTGGAGTGGTGCGGCGATGATAATACCCTGATAGAGAGGATTTTTAAATATAATGCTGAGGATCTGTGGTCAGTTAGCAATGAAAAATAGAACTTACACGAGGCAGCAGATGATTTGTGATAATAACCACGAGAGAGCTGACCACAGCCGAGCGATTAATGATAAAATTTAGAAAGGCGAGACATACCCAAGGCCAACACGATGCAAAGATAGCAGGTTATTGCAGCATGTATCAGCGTGTCCGAAAGTGGCATAGTGATGATGTGTGAACTCTATTCTTGGGCCGCCAGAGCCTTTGACAAGCATGCCAGGACAATTATTGGCATTCGTCATTGTTTTAATAGCCCTATTACCACAATCGCGACACTGTCGCATCGATGGGCTCCA